CATCTTTTTCTCTGGATTAAAATGTTGATAGCTGTTCACTGAAAATGACAAGCCATGAATCATCAGCAGAATACCTGGAAAATTATTTAAATAGAAGAAAAAGATTAACTGAGGTACAGATCGATGCAGGTGGTCCCTGATGCAGAAAACGGACTGAGGCAGCTACAGTTGTGTAAATTATTGCACAAATTATCCTATTACTACCTCTATTCTTTTTTACTTATTCTTTTGGACATCGAAGCAATCTCCAATGCGCATGTCTTATCATTATCATTTTCCCTAATTATGTATTTATAAAATTTATTGAAAATATAACCGTATGAAAGAGTTTTTCCTGACAAATTTATTAGTGCATTTTCACACATTAAATCCTAATATTTGTAATCTATTAATGATTTAAGAGTTCAAGATTTGGTTCTACGCATTTAAGACTTCATCCTTTCGAGAACAGAGGTAGTAATCCTATTGCAGCTACACTGGTGTGAAAAATCTGTTGAGCAGGTAAAAACAAACGGCTGGATATGTAGTCGCAAGATTTACTTTTGGCCACTGAAATGAGCAGCCACTGATTAAGACGCTTAACTTGTTCTTCTGCTAGAAAAAAAAAAGTCTAGTCCAGTTTCGTGCAGTTTCAGTAACTCAACTGATCAAAAAAGTTGTGGCTGTTAGAATGGACAACTGTGGCTAATAATTCCTCGAAATTAGGACAGAGTGGATCTTTCAAAAGAAAATATTAGGACAGAATGGATCTTTTCAAACTATACACTGTGGTTCTTCCTGAAGCAGATGCCAAAGGTGCGAGTTTTCGTCGCGAAAAGACGCTCTCAACCTAATTGCTGATGGAACTTAGCCATGTGCCTATCATGGATTTAAACTCTCCAGACATGATAATTACATTTTTCGCGAATGGACAAAAGGCTTGTGTGTTGATATATTAGGAGGATTGAAAATTTTGTACTATTAATTATACATGATGTGATCCACTCAGCGGCGGCCATAGGGGTTGGGGAGAGAGGAAATGAAGTTACAAAATAACGTGAATATTAGGGAAAGAACTAATATCAAATAATTAGAAGGGGTGAGGCTTCGAACCCAAGTTGCCTAGCCCACCACCTTGTGAAGCTAGTCAGAAAACCTCTAGTCATTTATGAGAGCAGAAATGAAGTTAAGGGCTAATTGAACTAGGAAGCACTATTACATCAAGCGTGAATATGTTTAGCTGTGTGCATCCTAACTCTGCATAAGTTGTTGAAGATCATGTAATTTCGCTCCTTCTTGTGGCACAATAATTTAACACATTACATAACAATCTTCGAGTAATAATAATAATAATAATAATTTCGTTAAAAACCAAAAATGGAAACACTCGACAATTTTGATTCCCATAATATCATTGATCGTCTGTCAATACATGGTACTAATCAATTGTACAGTGTGGCAAGTGTCAACTAAAAGAAAACAATAAAGCTCAATCGACAAATTTGCTGGCACCATTCATGGTGAGGTGGCCATGGCTCACATAGTCACATGGTGTGAAATAATGAATTTTAAGCTTGGTTTGGACTACATTACAGAGACAAACATTGATCTGATTCATAACGAGAGGGTAGGTCAGCAAAATTTATGACTTCTCAAAGGTTGGCGCAGCTCAGCTTCGCAGTCCGCATTCAAATCCAAAAGAAAGAAAATTTCCAAAGCCTTCAAATACTATACCTAAACGCGGTTAGGCGACATGAATATGCTTAAATATGCACACAGATATCGATCATATGATCCAATTGCAGCTGCAATTATATATATGCAAGATTAAGAAATGTGTTAGCATCAAAAGCTTCAGGTAGGCATACAAAAAGCATGCCAATTGCATCATGGATGACACATTATTAGATACAAAATCTTAACTACGTAGTATTATACAAGTGCTCAAGTGTCACCGTCAGTCATCAACCTATCCACAGGGATTACACACGTGCTTAGCTAGTATTCATCACCAGAAAGTATCTAAGTACATGCCTTGATTAATTAATAGTCCTTATAATTTTATATATTTTTTATTGGATTAGTTCGTCCTGCAGCGTATTCTGACCAAGATAAAAGTACAAAAAGAATATGTATTCTGAAACAAGATGAGGTCGTGTTCATCTACAGTTAAATGTAGTCATCAGGAAAGGCTTGGTGCATACTCTGTAATTAAAAATTTCAGAGATATTCCAGAGGAGAAGAAATATTGGACCCAAAGGATATTAATGATCCTCTAAGCCCTGGTTAGCAGCAGAAGAAATCTTCTCCTGTAATTTCTTTCTTCAGATTAATGCACAGAAGCTTGTCATTTGGCAATGAAAGGGGCTTTTGCTGACAGCCTAAAAAAAAGGAGATAAGTACAGTGCTACACTGACAATGATATGGTAATAATCAAGCCTTTTGGATAAAGATAGAAAAGCATGCAGACAGAATATAAAACCTTTTGCCACTTCTGCTTATTTTTCACTCCCATCTCCTGTTGTATGATCCCACACGCGATGCTAAGCACGAAGTAAAAAAAAATATACTTCCTCAGTTTTTTATGCACGATATCATTGACTTTTAGATATACGTTTGACCATTCATCTATTTAACAAAAAATTACAGATATGCCAAAAATAATATACAACAAAATAAATAATGAGTACATATTTTTTTAATAAAACAAATAGTTAAACATATGTTGAAAATCAATGGCGCTGTAAGCATCTGAGATGATCTTGTCTTGAAGAAGGGCAAAATCTCTTTTGAAAAGGCACATGGTTCTTCCTTTCCACAGTAGATAGCAAAAGATGAAATCACTGGTTGCAACAGGTCAAGCTGCCGCTGTCAATCTATCAGGCCTCTTTTTTTTACTTGTTCTATCAACCTGTTCTTCTGTGATATTCCTAAACTCCTATGGTAGCGAAAGCTAATCGAATCCCGTCAGACACCATCTTATCAGACAAAGCTTGCAATCTAGTACTCTACTACTATATGGCAAAAATCATTTTGTTTAGGGGATGGAATCCCTAACTTTTATGAAACATAAAAGAGTATATGATTCTTTGAAGAAGCTACAAATTGTCATATACAATTTATTTACTTTTTAAATGTCAGGTGGTGCATGGACACATTCAAAACCTGTATCATTTGCACAGTTGAACTTTTCATCTTGCAAGAGTTATTTACATGACAATTCAAAGGTTTTCAGGCCTAACCTGCCAAGGAGGCAAGGCTCTCAAGACTTGGTATCATATATTTAAAACATAAATTGTTCAACGGATCAAACAATTGTTGGCGAGTCCAGCAAAACATAGCTCTATGTGTTTGAATCGAAAGAGTCAAAAAAACCGATCTTTGATTAATAGCAGATAGAAATGTCAACACGCTTGCATCGAAGGCACGTCACTGCAAGTGTCTTCATGAACTGAACACATCGAAAGATGGAAAAGATGGAGAGGAAGATTCAGAAACGAACAAGACTCACCGTGCGGTCAAATTCCAGGAACACATTTGATCCGGTCTTTGAATGCACTTTAGAAATCAATATATGCAGTTCGTTACTCCTCCCGAAAAGAACTCAACGAAGTCGTATTATGCTCGAAATGATTACTGCAACACTGACTCTTCTGAAAGATTTTCAGGTCATGCAATTTTCAGTACATGCCTGAACCTGAATTTTCAGAGCAATATCTGAATACCTCATTTTTAATCCAAGAGCTCCTTTAGAACTCTAGAGGAATAGTTTGTTTGTGGGCTCATCAGCTGCAACAAAAATTTGAATTTCGAACCTAATTTTAGAGTTAATTTTAAGCATTTTTCGTCGTAGTTTATTTTTCAGCATTGAAATTTAGGGGTTGTTCTGATTATAGTCAAAATAAACATTATTGTCAAATTTTTGGCAATTTGGTAATATCGCCAAGTTTTGGCATGATTTTTTATGTGTTTACTAAAGTTTGATAAAAAAAACTAAATAGACGCAAAGTTTTGGCAACTTTACCAAAATTTGGTATGGTTTAAAATGACATAAATCCGAACAACCCCTTAGTAAATCGCTAAGAAGTAAGAACACATGTATAATAATTTACCCATATATTATTATATCTCGTTGCCTCGTTCATCTTTTAAGGACTAGTAATCCATTTCATTAAGGTCCTGTTCATTTCTCCAATAAGAGTCGGATGAAGTTAAAGATTTTTGTAGCACGCTTTTCAAACTGCTAAACGGTGTGTTTTGTGTGAAAACTTTCTATATGAAAGTTTCTCTAAAATATCATATTAATCTATTTTCAAGTTTGTAATAATTTATACTTAATAAATCATACGTAAATACCACCTCGTTTTACGTAAAAAACTTAATCTTCATCATCTTCATTTTCTGGAGAAAAGAAAACCACCTAAACCGTAGAACAAACTGTGAGAGGTTAAAGCCACGGTGAAATGGTGGTCAAATGTACTGGAAAATAAACTAGTGATCCATTTCATTATAAACTAATCAAGGTTATGAAGAAACAAACTAATCCTTGATAGCAGAGAGAGAGAGAGAGAGGCAGGTTTTGGGGGTGTAATAAAAACGGGGTACAGACACACAAGTGGACAACGGAAGCATCAACTGCCCCGGCCACCCGCCGTGTTTCTGGAGCGCCCCCCAAACCACCCCACCTCACACACAAACACCAAACACCCACTCCCCCCACCACCCACCTCCCGCCACGAGTCCACACGGCCCCACCTGTCATTCACCCCGTACTCATTCATTGCCACCTCCCCTTTCTCCCCCTTTTCCGTTTCCCACGCACGGCTTCCGTACGCGGCGCCACGAACGGGTCACTGACGCGTGGGCCCACCCCCTCGTGGGACCCGCCACCAGAAAGGCGTTACAATAAAAAAATATTTCCTGGCACTTTTGCACATTGGCCCCTGGGAAAACGTGGAATTGACAGTCGCCTCCCTGGAGTGATGTAATGTAAGCCCGAGGTGAGGTGGGGGAGGAGAGAGAAATTGGTAACGAACGCCATTTCCGATTTCTCTCTCTCTCTCCTCTTCTTCTTCTTCTTCTTCCCCAACGAGCGACTCGCCTCCACCTCCTCGACCTCCACCTCGCGAGGCGGCGGTGCGGGGGGCCCCAAACCCTAACCCTAATTCCGCTGCGCCCGCGCCCGCGCCCGCGCGCGCCGACAGGCTGTTGTTGTTGTTGCCATGGGGCAGTGCTACGGCAAGGGCGCGTCGGGGAGGACGGCGGACGATGAGGGCGGGGTGGTGACGGAGCACCAGTCGCCGCCGCCGGCGAACGGGCTGCCGTCGACGCCGCCGCGGCAGCAGGCGCAGGCGCAGGCGCAGCAGGTGGGGACGCCGAGGCGGCGTGGGAGTAAGTCCGGATCGACGACGCCGGGGCACCAGACGCCTGGGGTGGCGTGGCCGAGCCCGTACCCGTCCGGGGGCGCGAGCCCGCTGCCGGCCGGGGTGTCGCCGTCGCCGGCGAGGTCGACGCCCAGGAGGTTCTTCAAGCGGCCGTTCCCGCCGCCGTCGCCGGCCAAGCACATAAAGGCCACGCTCGCCAAGAGGCTGGGTGGGGGGAAGCCCAAGGAAGGGACGATACCGGAGGAGGGAGGCGTGGGCGCTGGCGGCGGCGGTGGAGGGGCCGCGGATGGGGCGGAGACGGAGAGGCCATTGGACAAGACGTTCGGGTTCTCGAAGAACTTCGGCGCGAAGTACGAGCTCGGGAAGGAGGTGGGGAGGGGCCACTTCGGACACACTTGCTCCGCCGTCGTCAAGAAGGGCGAGTACAAGGGACAGACCGTCGCCGTCAAGATCATCGCCAAAGCTAAGGTCAGAGCTCGCTGCTGCTGGTGGTGATAAGCTGCTTTTTTAAGCTCTGGTTCACCTTTTTGTTTCATGAATTCAAAATTTAGTTGTTGCCGTCGCGCCATTTTTGAAGAAATAACTGAAATCTAGGTCAGTGTTATGATTCGTATGATCGAGATTGAAGGATAGAAGTAACTGAGATTTAGGAATTTTGTCTTATTATATTATCCCCCCCCCCCCAAGGATACTGGCACAAATGGAAGATTGCGAATCTCGGATTTTGCCACATTAGTTCTACATTGGCGATTGGTTAATCTTGCTCAGTTTCTGGAGTAGGATTATCTCATTCAATTTCATTTTTTTTGAGGAGTTTGTCTTTCAGAGAAATAGACAGTAAGGTTGAACCAGGATATTTCTGCATTTTCCTCCTTTAGAGAGTTACATTTGTTTTTCTTTTTTGACTGGAAACAGTAGGGGAAGATAGTTGCATTTGTGAGGGACGAACAGTTACCCAAGTCTTAATTTGTGGTGTGAAGAGGCTTTTGGATGCAGCTAGTACATTGATTAAATTGGTGACTTAGCCAATCGTTGCTAGTGATAAATGATATTCTAACCAATCAGCAGTACATGTCCTAACCTACCTTTTTTATCTGTCCTTTTTGGCTTTTAGTTAAGGATTGTCGATTTTGAGGTGGATTTTCATGTGACACATCTGGGGAAAAGCTGACATGAATACACTGGTCTAGTGATCAATTATCGGTATTTTTAGTCCATATGAGACGGTAGTTTCGAAAAGCACATCATAGGAAAGAGAGGTTTTGGGTGTCACCATTTGCCAGTCACAATTCACAATCAGTGGGAGGTAGTGTCACAGCAACTGCAGGCTGACATGTACTAAAGACATTTGAAGTGGAGAAAGATCCAAGGAGGCTACAGAGCTTAGAGTTGATTTAGGAGACACATGGCATATGGTACTGTTACTTAATTGAGTGATACAACAAAAATGGGTAGAGTGCCCTTTGGTTGTTATTTATTGTCAGGGGCTTCATGGATCAGGCACTACATAATTCGAAATGATTCATGATCTGAATATGAATTGGCCTGATTGTCTACCACCACAACAGATATTCACATTGCTTTTTAGGATATCAGATATGTCATAGCTGAGTATCGGTGGTTCCAACTGGTTTATTTATGGAATCTGAACATCAATAGGCATCTGCTTTACTTTTAGCCTTTCAGAAAAATCATTTAATTATTTGAAGAAAACTGTTTCATAGTTTTTAGAAATATTTTTAATACATTCTGGATGTTTGTTGTCTAAACAGTTAAATATATCACAAGCTAAATATTTGCTGGCAGACTGCATTAAATGCCAAAAATCTGGGACCTTGAGATAATGACAAACCATTTTTAAACTAACTGGAAGATTCGGTAGCACGTCCAGTAGCCCTAGTGGGAGGCTCATACGGTTAATCTTGTTATCACTTATCAATTAGTAACCATCTCAGGAGACCCTTTCTTGGGTCAAAGATCAAACCGACATGATATTTAACACACAAATGGTTTCCTTAGAGTTTAGAAATTAAGTTTACTCTATGCAGCGCAAGTTTCTTATAATCAGTCTTCAACTCAACCTAGCAGCAGTTTAACATGATAAATAATGGGATTTCCGCAGGGCAGCTAATTGTCAAGTGTCCTATTGTTGCTCCGGTTCCCTTGATCCAACTTTATAAAATAATTTATAAATGAAAGCATGCAATGTAGTAGAATGGGTCCTACTTATCGTATTATTTGATTTGTTTGTTCTCTTTTCATTGATGTGAACTGCAATGGTGCAAGTACCTTCACAACGGCACCTATAAATTTATTGCAGTGCCTAGTTCTTCGAACTGAAACAAAAATTTTAGCAACTTACTTTTAACAATTTACTCTTGTGTTTGGCAGATGACAACGGCAATATCCATTGAGGATGTTCGTAGAGAAGTAAAAATTTTGAGAGCGTTATCAGGGCACAATAATCTCGTCAAATTCTATGATGCATGTGAGGATGGCCTCAATGTCTACATTGTCATGGAGTATGTTTTTTTATGACTTTTATATGTAATTTTAACCAATATACTTAAGATTTTTCTACAGGCAATATTTGATCTCAGATTACTTGACACGCATGCAAAATATCTTGTCTATGAGCTCCACAGTTACTTTATTATTATCTGCTTTTTTCCTATTCTATCTACTGATGTTTGTGTTATCTACTAGTCTACTACCTACCATTGCAGAAAATCACTATTTGTCGCACCTTATTTAATATTGTTAAGGAAGTAATTTTCCAATCATTTTTCCTTAACAGATTATGTGAGGGAGGAGAATTGCTAGACAGAATATTAGCCAGGTACTTTCTACATTTTTCTTTATGCATAGTAGTAAACTAATACTATCTCTGTATATTTGTTAATCCTTACCAATTATGCTAACCTGAACTATTGAAGAGGCGGGAGATACACAGAGGAAGATGCCAAAGCGATTGTTGTACAGATTTTGAGCGTAGTAGCCTTCTGTCATCTTCAGGGGGTAGTGCATCGTGATTTGAAGCCAGAGGTGTGCTTTGAAATCTTGGAACTAATTTATGTGTAGTTTACATTCGTATACGTATGCAGTCACATTTGTAAATTATACTTGTAGAATGCTAGGCTATTTTTATGACATAGTTCTATTCTTTTGTCCAGAATTTCCTTTTCACAACCAGGGATGAAAATGCTCCCATGAAGTTGATTGATTTTGGTCTCTCTGATTTCATTAGACCAGGTAATAAACTAGTCTTCATCTTTGTGTGTACTAACATGCATTCCGTATTAGGTATGGCTTGTGGATAATCTTGATTTATATAGACTACCTTGGCTTGTTGTTCATGCCTATTGTTTACATTCTGTGCTGTGGCATCCTGTCCTGGGCTAATTCATTTTACGTTAATCTGAGTTATCTATATTCCAGGTTGACAATGCATCATTCATTTTTTGTGGCTTGTGTCCTGATGCTTTTAATGAACTTTGGCTAACTATTTTTCTCTTCACTGTTGCTTGGTATTTCATTAGCTGACCAGACACCTTGTTCTTTGTATTTTGTGCTATATAATGCAGATGAAAGGCTTAATGATATTGTTGGAAGTGCATATTATGTTGCCCCAGAGGTTTTACACAGATCATATAGTATGGAAGCAGACATTTGGAGTATAGGTGTCATAACGTACATTCTGCTCTGTGGCAGTCGGCCATTCTGGGCACGAACAGAATCAGGAATATTCCGATCTGTGTTGAGAGCTGATCCCAACTTTGATGATTCACCGTGGCCTACAGTATCAGCTGAAGCTAAGGATTTTGTGAAGAGATTTCTGAACAAAGATTACCGCAAAAGAATGACCGCTGTTCAAGCACTGAGTAAGTTGTCAACATTATTATCTATAACTGTTGTGTAGTATGGCACTAGTTGTTTTATTTCTCTATCATAAATCGTATATGAGAGGATGACACTTGTTTTCTTTGGCAGCTCATCCTTGGTTGCGAGATGAACAAAGGCAGATCCCGCTGGACATACTCATCTTCAGATTAATTAAGCAATACCTCCGCGCTACACCTCTTAAACGGTTGGCATTAAAGGTTCGTTATAGATTATCATGATCTTCTCTGCATCTGTAATTATTATTTTGATGTTTCACTGATTTTACTGATATGTACTCTGGCTAATAAATTTGCATGGACTGGCTAAATGTTTTGTTATATGCACAAGATCATGGCTGGCTGGCTGTATGTAAGATGCAAGGGCCTAGTTTGGTTAGGACTGCATATCTTATCTCTTGCAAAATAATTGTCAGCATCATCGGTGCATATGTTATATACTATTGTCAGGTTGTTAGGGATGTTCATATATTAAGGAGCTGTCAAGTTCCCAAGTTAGTCTCCCTAGACTAATTTGGGAGAAAAATAATAAAATGATAAAAATAAAAGATGAAGGCTGTGTTAACTATTAACTCTGCCAAGTGGAAAAACTGAATATGCTTGCAGTATCATTCCTATGTGTGGTATAAAGCGTGTGGATCCCTTTCCTGTCCTTACATGTGCTTTGGCTAAGCTTTTACTGATAGTCAAGTTGTGTCTTTCGTTTATGGCCTTGCATTTTTCCATGTGTTACTGTGGGGGTGGTATCAATTAGTGGACATGGTTTTGCTCAAACTTGTGCGTTAAAAGTCCTTGTTATAAATTTGCTGATGCCAGCAAATTGTGGTGCAACTCAACCATATATTTGTTTATTACTGAAATCTGAGTACTGTCACAGGCACTATCCAAGGCTTTAAGGGAAGATGAACTTTTGTATCTCAAACTGCAGTTTAAACTGCTCGAACCTAGAGATGGGTTTGTATCACTTGACAACTTTCGGACGGTGAGTTTACCATATTATTTCTGACTACCTCATTGAGATAAAGGCACACATGACACTTGTCATCCAATGTGCATTACATTACCTGTAAGTAAATCATAGTTTTAACCTCTTAATTCACTATCTTATTCAGGCACTAACGCGATATTTAACTGATGCTATGAAGGAATCGAGGGTTCTTGAATTTTTGCATGCGGTAAGGAAATTTCACCGACGACTTTAAGTACTAGGAGAATGTTCAATTTGTATTGACCTATATTCAAAGTACAAGATCATGCAAAGTTACCAGAGAGCATAATTTCCAGTTGTCAAGCAAAGGCTCATTTGGCATGCTGGATGGCTGTTTATCTTGTACATGTAGTAGAAATTAACCATATTTTGATTGATATTGACCATAATGTGATTAATTTGTGATGCACAACAAGAGTTGTACTATCACCCTTCTATGGTACCTGCTTAAATATTTATATTACTATACGAATTCCATCATTACCTTTAATGCTGAAAGCCATATACTGAATTTTTTTGTTGCAAAGCCATACAACCAAAGCTATTATGATGAACTGATGGCCATTATTGCTTTGTTTGTTTCTTTTCTAACTCCTTGCATCCTGTGTTTTTTTTTAATTTCTTAAAATACATCTCATTGGTGGTTGAAGTTGCTGATCTCAGTGTTGTGTATATTGATTCTATCCCAGTTGGAACCACTTGCATACAGAAGAATGGACTTTGAAGAGTTCTGTGCCGCAGCAATCAGTCCTTACCAGCTTGAGGCACTGGAAAGGTGGGAGGAGATTGCTGGAACAGCTTTCCAGCAATTTGAACAAGAGGGCAACCGAGTCATATCAGTTGAGGAATTAGCACAGGTATTTATGATGATTTCCATGATCCCATCTGACACCACAGCTGCCTTAGTTGGTAGGGTAATGTTTGTGTGGATAATATTGTTGCAATTTCACTACCATGGTTTGTGGGATCCATGGAGAAGTAACATTTTTTCTCGTAACTATAACGGTTACCCTGACCAACCTTTCTCTGTACAGGAATTAAATCTTGCTCCAACTCATTACTCCATCGTTCAAGACTGGATCAGAAAATCCGATGGCAAGCTAAACTTTCTCGGGTTTACCAAATTTTTACATGGTGTCACAATAAGGGGCTCAAATACAAGACGGCATTAAGCGATTTGCAAAAGAAAATGTATTCTTTTCTCTTCTAATTTTAAAGCCGCTCATTATGTGACCCTGATTGATGTTTTCCCCTCCTGCTCCTATCCCTCTGGTCAATATGATCATTATTCTTGTTCGTGCTGCTGTCGGCTGTTGTCATCATAGTTTTTTGTAGAGAATACATGTAAAGATCTTTTGTAATGAATCGAATGATATGTTTGTTCAAGAAATATAGTGTCATGTTGTTCTTTTTTGCCCAGTAATTTCAGACCTTCCTACAAAATACAAATCATTTGTCCATGAATGCATCATTGTCGATACATTTGTTAGCTGAATCTTCTCTCTTAAGCTGTCATTCTTCATATTCTGTTGCAAACGAGCCATGGTGCAGACTGCAGAGCCCAAAGGGAGATTCTTCTATGGCCGTATTGCAGCATTGCAAATGGGCCTGAAGATGGCAAAGCGAAGTGCACCAACTCTTAGGGCTGTTCATATTGAAACCAAAATAAATCTAACCAAATTTTGGTAAGTTGTCAATATTATCAAAATTTTGTCAGGATTTCTTATGTATTTACTAAATTTTAGCAAGAAATTTAATGTATGTATATTTTTAGCAACTTTACAAAAAATGGTATGGTTTGAAATGACATAAATCTGAACAGCCCCTTAACCACTTTAGTTAGATCAAGCTTCAATCAACAATACTCTGTCTGGATATATTTTTTAACATAAAATTAAAATTATTATATTCGTATTCAAAAGTACTTACTTATATTATGCTTTTGTATCACATAAATACTTGTAATTATGTTTTTTTATCACACAAATAATATCATAATGGACTAATTATCGATCAAATTGTATTCTAATGAAATAAAATACGTCCTATGTTTTGAAACCGGGGAGTACTTTCTTTCGGTAACTGGGTTGGCTCTTTGCGCTGAGAATACAAACCGCGACATTCGTTTGCGATGGGGGTAATTGTCTGAATCCTGAAGCTGCTGCTTAAGGCATCATCTCAGCAACGCCACGTTCGTGTGTGATCCTCCTCTGAATCTCTGACGAAGCACCTGGTTGCTACGAACTCCCTTCTGCTCATGGCACCATCTTCATCACACGCTCTGTCGTCAGTCAAAACTAAAACTGATGCTTACTATAGTATTCACTATTCAGATACTAATGACATCTCAAAGTTTTCTCCCATGGTGTCCAGTTCTACACGCAAAATTCTCGTCGTGCCAAACACGGTCTTGGAATCGGATTATCTCTGCAAGAACTCAGCTCCATCCACTGCACGCCATCGCCATCATCATCATCATCATCATCGCTGCGATCTCCAACCTGCAATGCCATTGGAGCAGAGAATTTTTTTTTTCTCTCTATGCTGCTCTCGCCATCGATCTTGCTGCTGCCTGTGTACTGACGAGATGAAGAAACAAGAACAAGTTTGCTGTCCTACTCATGGTGCTGTCACTGAGTACATATTCTCGTTTTCGCTTTCATGGGTTCCAGAAATCGACCGGAAATGGGATTAATTCTGCAACTTATTACTGTGTTTCCAGCTGGGAGATGGCTACACACACCCATCTCATCAGACTACGACGTACTCCCTCCGTCCTAAAAAAAAAAAGACAAACCCTAGTTTCCGTGTCCAACGTTTGACCGTCCGTCTTATTTGAAAAAAATATGAAAAAATTTAAAAGATAAGTCACGCATAAAGTATTAATCATGTTTTATCATCTACAACAATGAAAATACTAATTATAAAAAATTTTCATATAAGACAGATAGTCAAACGTTGACACGAAAACCTAGGGTTTGTTTTTTTTTTTTGGTACGGAGGGAGTAGGAGTACTTGTCTGTTCATCTTATATAGTATTATATAATTGAATTATACACCAAATTGCTTTCCCACTTACTCTGTTGCTGTCACCGTGAGCTGCAATGCCGCGTCAGATCGTGCTCGGTTCACTTGTAAATGTCAGACAGAGATGATCTCTCCTATCGATCGCGTCAAACTGATCATCACTCAAGCGAGAGAATTACAGTTAGAATCAGAATTACTCGATCGATCGGTGATGCTGCTTCAGTTGTTCATGAAGGAGCTCACTTCCTCTCGTTAATGAAACCATTTCGATGAGAAAAGAAACGGGCCGATTAATCAAAGATGGTCTGTTTTTAATGATGATTTCATTGTCATAAAAAAGATGTGGTCCTTTCAGGCTTCAGCCCACAGGAAACAAGATGCAAGTCTTTTGTTGTATTTTGTTCTTTCGAGTTGTTCTCCTCTCCCTCTCCTTCATCTGAACTTCTGAAATTTCTGAACCAGATTATGCACAGTAAAGCATACATATCCCAAATTCCTAGTCTAGAGGTCACAGTATATGATTGGTGCGTTGCTATCAATTGAAGTGATTATATCATCTACACCCTCCGTCGCAAAATAAGTTTATTTGTGGGTTTTTGTGTTCAATGTTTGACCGTCCGTCTTATTTGAAAAAATATAATTTTTTTTAAAAATGTAAGTCACACATAAAATACTATTCATGCATATTTTATAATCTAATAACAACAAAAGTACTAATCATAACTTTTTAAAAATAAGACGGACAATCAAACATTGAACAAAGAAACCTACAAATGAACTTATTTTGGGACAAAGGGTGTACTTAATGCCATCTCTTTCTTAAATAAAAATGATTATATCTAAATACTGTGCAAAAGTACCGTCGCTTGACAAGGTTGGCACGCATGATATTGCGACTTCTTCACAAGGTCAAAACTGAAAGAGAGAGAAAGATCGAACAACTGTACCAAATTCTGAAGCAAGATTCAAAAAATCTAACCACTTGTTTAGGTGATGATTACTCGCTTGGCGTTTGGATGAATATACTCTTGGGAATTCATACCAATCGCCAAATTGCGACCCTACCTCAGCTAAAAACTATGTCTAGTTCACATCTATGGAAATGGACCATATGAATCAGATAGCCTGAACCTACTAATTGGTTTGTAGACGCAGACAAAGAAGCTAGGTCATCAGCTTGGATGAACCAAGCAGCAATCGTTGAACTTGAAACTGAAGCCTCCAATTTCAACCCTACTTTATCTGCTTCAGAAACCAAAAAGAAAAAAGAGAGAGAAAAACTCATTCTTTATCAGCATTTTGCAAAGAATAGGTTACTGTTCATGATCACTGAATATATTTTTGTGCATGTATATACAGAGAATGACAGCATCTTTACAGGAGAATTAACTGATCGATTGATATTCTGCCATTAGGAACAGATAGTCCGTGTCCGTGCAATGGAACCGTCCTTGAACTGTACCTTATCAAACTTGTCTGACAGTGACGATGAAGAAACTTGTAAAGTAAAATGTTTGGTGATGATCAGATTGGATGAGAATTAATGCAACTAACGTGGATGAATACAAACCTGTCAATGAAACCCCGTCTTAATCAGGTCGACGTGGTAATGTCGACACGAGGGTGTTAGTGAGTCAGTCCGTTCATTTTCTTCTATCTATAGCTGACGCGTTGTTGAGTTCTTTAACACAATCATTCATGATAGATTGATATTTGATCAAGCTGGTCTTATAAATTGCCAACCACACACTAAATTAGATAGAAGGGACATCTTGAATTCAGCACTTTCCATCAAACTCTTCTGGACTGCAAGTCCATGAGACCATGACTAACTGCACAAGAGATTGAAACCTCATCTGAACTATTGTCATGGACTTACATTTTTATTTATTACGGTTGTTGATAAGGTACCGATGGGTGTCACGTTTTCTAGTGTTAGATATCGGAGGTACCAGCTTTTACACTAAAAATATTCTAGCTCCTCTCAAAGACCAAAAAAAGATGAAATTGTTCGGTTTTTATACAAACGGTGACAAATTCCCATACATGACTCAATTAAGCTGTCCTAAAGAATATATTGGAACCTCCTCTGAACTATTGTCATGGTCATGGACTTATAAAATTTGAGTCGAAAATTGTTCAGTTTTTATACAAGCCTGGAAAATTCAGAGATATTGCCTCAAAGTCAACATCCAGGTGGTGAAAGGAGAGGCAGTGGAGGCCATTCCAAGGCAGAGGCAAAGATTGCAAGGGAATGGAAGAGTCCAGAATGGAATCCATGGAATACTCCACTACACAAGATAGTCTCATCACGCATGGTACAATGCATTTGTCCTTTTTTTCAGGCAAAAACACAATGCATTTGTCTTGTTGTAAGAAAAAAACTATGGCCTTCGCTTTGTCCACCTGCTGCTTCTTTTGCCGTACACAAAAGGATGCTCTCCGTATCCCCTCCATCATCTCTACCACTGTTCATGCTTTGTACTAACACCATTGGCTGTTTCAATCATCTTTAGTTTTATTCTATTTCTCCCGATGTGTTGAACCCAATAATTGGTGATTTTTCGAAGGAAAAAGTAGTTGGTGCCGTCGATAAACCACTCGATTCGACTGTGTCTCATGTGCACTTCTAGAGGTCAATAAAACTATTGGCAAATATAGAGCATCCCTCTTTATTCTTTCATTTTAGATACGGCGAGATGGTATACTATTAGAGTATGTTCTTACTATATGAATTGATGATATTCTGTTCTCACCTTTTCTTAAAAGAAAATTCTTTCCTTACCTTGATCGCCCAAGAATGTTTTACTGTGAGTAGATGTTTGCTTATTTTACCTCTTATGAATAGGGAAAGAGAAGGCATGAAGAGAATATAGTACATAAAGAAAGGAAGAAACATATGGATGGATGACGAGGTCTTCATTGTCAGCTTGTTGACTTATTAGCCGCAACCAAAATTTGAATTTTGAAAGTTATTTTGGGTTTTTCTACCATATATAGTCTATTTTTCAGCCTTATTTTTAAAATTGCTAATAATATAAATATAAAAAAATCATAAATTATTTATGTTTGTCATTCATTTTTTGACAGCTTATTCAGCTATAGTTCAACCGGTCATAGCCTTAAATTTTGGGTTCAACATCATTCTAGTTCCTAATTTCACATGCTTAATCGATGATGAACACTAATGAATAATGAAGTGTAGCTTGTAGAATGACATCTCTGAGGACAAGTATGCTGCCACATCAATGGCCTAGGGTTTTAATAGCAGCTATGGAGAGATCCAAATCGAACACAACTTTCAAAAAGAAAAATCAAGCACGATTCTATTTCATTCTCCACATTACATGGAGTTCTGACCTACGCACACATACACATCTCTCTTTCCCTATTGATCACCAAAAGTGACCTACCACTAACTAGCTGCTAGTACTAGAGTATCAATTCTTGCTTAATTATTTGTGAAAACTTAATTTGGTGCCACTAGCTAGATCTGGATTGGATTTCTCCGAATTTCGGGAATGATCTGGATTGGATTTCTCCGAATTTCGGGAATGCTAAAAACTATACACCTCTCATAAACATGATGACCGCATAGCACTCTGATCAGTTTGATTTACTTTTACTTTTCACTGCACGTTGAGATGAAAAAAAAAATCTAATCTGGCATGTTCAGTGGATCATAATAAGAGGTAGTTTTGCAATTAACTAAAACATGTATCAATCCGTTATATTTTGGGATGGTGGGAGTAATTAGCAAGGGGAGAAAATCACCAAGAAAATAAATTAAACTAGATTATCTGTCTGAATCTTCTGAATGTGTACGGTACATGTGTGTGTGATCTGCAATGCTTCTCAGTTTCTCGTACTGCCTGTCCTTTTGGCCAAACAACGTGTCCTTTGCTTGTTCATATCCATCCCCTTCTCCATTTCCTACTGCGGCGCCGCCCTCCCTACTACCATCTCGAGATTCTTCTCTCACTCTCTCTCATCTCATCTCTGACAGTGCCAGGTCTATCTGCCACAAGAAGCTCTGACAACTGTTGCACTACTGCCTTCGTGATGAACGGATAATGGATTAAACCGGACGTTTTTCAAACTAAACAATATTACAAATCCATTTTCCAACTTCCTATAATAATTATCATAAATAAGCTATTTAGCCATTCGTTCATTCTCGGTTTCTGTTTCACCAACAACTTTCACCAACTAAAAACTCTGAATGTGTTGGAATGCATTGGGTAGTGCTGGCGCCTGTCGATCAGTAGGCGATTTATTGTCCTAGTAAGTTTTCTTTTAGAGAATAACGATGAGTAGCACTAACAGCTGGAGTAGCTAGCTTAGCACTAAGTAAATTCTGATGATTGTTGTTTAGTACTGAGAGTGGACAAAACCAAGAAAGTAAGCTAGAATCCTAGAAGAGATGAAAGAAAAAAAAAACAACATTTGCTATCTAGCTAGTTAGCTGGCCCTCTTTGTTCTTGTCTATGGAGCTAGGTTCTTTTTCTCCACTCTTTTGGAAGCCAACATATAGATAGACATGTTTAATTTGTTTCTGAAATTTCATATATTTTTTTCATCCCTATACCATATATGAATCTTGATCAACAACCATTAGGAAAAGGATGTTCTTTCTGAATAGAAAAAGGATGCTCTTTCTGAATAGAAAGAGAATACTACCAACCATATATATCATCTCAAAAAATTGAAAAAAAAACGGAATTCACAAATAAAGAAAAAGAAGAAAGGGAACATCTTTTGTTTTGATTGAACAGATCCTTTGATCTCCATTTTCATCATCATCATCATCACAATCTAACTTAACTAGGAGAGAGAGAGAGAGAGAGAGAGAGAGTCCTATAAGGATGAACAGAGAACAACCCGCAGCTGCATGACAGATCTGCTCATGCATGCATGATCCTTTTTGATCATCATCACAAACCATGACTAAATTCCTAACCAAAAGGAAATTAAAACCCTAAGTATTATTAATCCATCGATCTAAGAGAGAGAGAAGCTAGCCAAAGAAACACCATGCATCATCATCTGATGATCATCTCAATCAGGCCCTGAAGCAGGCGGCGATGTGGAAGTTGTTGTGGTGTCCCGACGAGCCGTGGCCGGAGAGGAGGCCGCCGGCGCCGGCGCCGCCGGCGCCATGGGAGCCGCCGTGGTGGTGCTTCTGGTGGTGGATGATGCCCTGGACGCGGCGGAAGTGGTCGACGCCGCAGGGGATGGTGATGGCGCCCTTCTGCTCGAACCCGAACTCCTCCTCGGCCTCCTTGAGGAGCCCCACGAACAGCGGGTGCTTCAGATAACCCACCGGCACCACGAACCTCTCTCCCTCCGCTCCTCCTCCGCCGCCGCCCACGCCGCCGGGCCCCACCACCCTCACCGCCATGCACCCCTTCGGCGGCATCCCTCCCCCCGCCGACGAGCCCCCCGCCGACGCCGATGACTGCTGCCTCTTCAGCAAGTGCACACCCATCCTTCTACCTATATAGATATGACTATATCTAATCGAAGAAACGCTAGCTTGGTCGATCGATCTCTAGCTCCGACGACGAGCAAGAACGCGCCGCCGTTAGAGCGGCGGGATCTCCATGGCGGCCGGTGAGGTGGCCTCGCTAGCTTGATGGTTTCTTGGCTCGAGGAGGAGTTGGTGGAGGAGGAGAGCGTAGGGTGCGCGTGTATATGAGGAGGCCGGTGACTGCGCCCTTTTGTTTCTATCTGTGAATTTTTTTTTTACTCTTTTTTACTATTTATGATTTATTGATTTCCTTTTTCTTCTACTGTTTCTTTTCCTGCAGCTGCTGATTTTCCTGGTGAGAAATAAATGTCATATCTCTCCCCATAAATATTACTCCACCATTTCAGGAGTGATATTAATTAATCCAGAAATAATTATTTATCTTAGCTTTCTCTTTGGGATGTTTAAAAGAAATGTGTTTTTTTTTTGTGTGTAGCTAGCTGTTGGAGATAGAGCAAGGCACTAACTCTACAGCTTTGTATTAGCTACAGCGGAGAGGGCATCTGATCCCTCCGTAGAGTGTAGCTGGCCAGTATGCCCTGGTGTTGCCTAGGCTTTGTGTGCTTACAAGTGTCAGTGAGAACACCATGTGTTTGAGATTTGAGAATGTGGTACCATACATATTAGAATTAGTTAGAATCAATTTACCATGTTGTATATTAACTCTATTATTCAAAGCAAAATATTTATATCTTTTTTTACTGTAGGTAATATCTATATCTTATAGCTTCGTTAATTCGAAGTAATTCATACATTTATTATACCCACCTACACCTACCTCGGCCTGGTAGTAACGGATATCTCTATCTCTCACTAGAGATGTTGCCGGTCAACTTTAGGAGACATCTGTGGTTCCTATAAACGACATAGGAAAGATAGAATTTCGTGTATGCTACTGTCACATATTACACCAAACGCTCGCTCATTGTATCTGTGCAGTCTCTCACAAACGACATAAGTAGTGATCTGGCAAGCATAAAAAAATTTAAAGCCTAGCAAAATACGCAATGGAAGTCTCTAGACGCCGATGACCAAGGTCGCAGGCCTTAAATCTATCCAAGGCGATAGAATACATGTGGTATACATATTGCTTGCAATCTGCATAACCCATGGTATATATACATGTTACATGCAACCAAAAGCTCATACCCGTGTGTAATTTACTATATTGCCTTGTTATATGGACTCATATGTTATCCAAAGAAAAATATGTAACATTATTTTGTTGTGGTAGGTAGATACTATTTTTATTTGCTTTGCATGGTTAATTCTAAGTAATATGAATATTCATTTTATATATCCATTATATTATCTCTATGTGTTGGTAGACAAATCATCAATAAACTTACAAAGATATTTACAGGTTATAGATGATGGAAGAAAGATAAGATTTCATGAGTGTTATCGTCATATATTACACCTAACACTCAACGTGTAGTGTGTGTATCCTCAACATAGGCGGTGATATGGCAAGCCCAAAATTTTATTAAAAACTACTAGAATATATACACAATATCTCTACTACCTTAATAGCGAAGTCGTCTTCCTTCTCTCCCCTCCTTCCACCGTGCACACGTGTAACATATGTACGTAATCACCAGATCCAATGTTTTATCTCCCAATCTATCACACTTATAGCCCATCTCTACTTACATGAGACTGACCTATTACAACTTATGAGCACGTTACTCCTAATCGTGAGTGTCTAAGAATACTGGTTGATAAGGTTACTAGGCTTAAGTCCGTCTCATGAGATGGTACATGGATCCAATGTACAGAAAATATATGTGTGATCCTCTGTATAACACCATGATGTAAGTGTTACATATGCAGCCATAAGCGCAGAATTTTATATTTGCAGTCTACTTTAACCATGTATGAGTGCACCACGGTCGTAGCAATAACTAGCAATATTCCTGGATGCATATATATTTTGGATATACATATAGAATATCATATCCTCTAGTTCTTCATGTAGATTGTTACATACTCTCTGTTTTTAATAGATTGTGTTGTTAATTTATATATATATATATATATATATATATATATATATATATATATATATATATATATATATATATATATATATATATATATATATATATATATTTGACCATTCGTCATAATTATTATTACTTTTGTTAAGACTTAGTTTATTACTAAAGGTATTTTATGCATGACTTATATTTTATATATTCGCATAAATCTTTTGAATAAAACTGACGATCAAATATATGTCTAGAAATCAACGACGCCATCTTTTTAAAACTAGAGAAAGTATATATTTATAGCTAGCTGATAGTTAAATTATGTACATAGGTGACAAAGCAAATTACAATGCAGACTAGTTATGACCTATGACCATATATATATTGGCAATAATTGACCCATACAAAATTTGCTAGCTAACCTGCATGACTACAAATGATTGCATGTTTTTCTTGATTAATTCCACTCTAATGGCAGTCCATATGTTTACTCAGTAGGGACATGCAGATGCAGGCAGAGGAGGACGGAGCTGAAGCCACGGATTCGATCTCATCAACAAGTAAGGACAGCAAGGACAAATTGGAAAAGAAGCAGGTTTGTTATGTCCCGACACAATTAATGTTTTGGCACCGTTGATTTCTTTTTCTTCTTAAATGGCTTCTTTTGGGACTCAATGCATCATTTCCAACGGCTCGTGAACCGGCTGATGAAGGCTACCTTTGATTCTTTGATGTGGTAGAGGCTATATAGAGCACTAGCTAGCTGCAGTGCTTCTGCTACTTTCAACACTAATAATGAGCTTTATGTATTCGTTCTCTTCTGCCAATAAACTGTTGCATAATGCTAGTGCTAATCTAGCATCAATACAGAGCATATTAACTTGTCTTTGCCGACATAAGTATGAAATTTGTTCTTGTCGATAGGGACACCTTCTCCAACTCTCTGAATATAAACACTGCATCATGCAGGAAAACCTTTCAGACTCTGCACACAGGTAGTCCAAATTAGTTAGATGTTTGCTGTAACCATCAGTTCCTCCACAACAGAATGAAACTGTGAGAATATGATGCAGGATGATTTCAAATCATATTTTTGCATTTACTGAAAAAGAACTCCAAACTAGAAATACATTGAAGGAAAGATGGAATCCTGAATTGTACTGCAGGCCACCGTGCACACCAACAACCATTAGTATGGTCGGCTTGGAGGTCACTCACAATCACTTTGCTTTGCTTTGCTTTGGCTCCAATAATTTAGCCAAAGTTATCTGCATAGAGAAAGCTAAGGTTTTTCCATGGTGGGTGGTAGTCAAACATCCAGCCCTCCCCTCATGCGGCCTCCATTATTATAAAGCCTCAGTGACAACAAAATGGAATTATTCTCTTCAGGATGTGGACTTTGGAACTGTATAGCATAAAGTCTTTTTTGTCAATGCACACCTCTTTCGTTTGCGAAATTTGTCAAGTACAGAAAGTACACAGAGGACTACTATGGCCGGCTTACCGTACAGAATTCAGAAGAGGGATCAAAACAACGTTGCGTTTGTCTTCATGAAAGTAAATTGCAGGGATGCTAATTAAATTGTAATTGAGTGGTTATTACTTATGGATTGGCGAAACCGTGAAAATGAAATTTGCTCTCTGGTTATCTATAGCATATAAGATGCTTATTTTTACTGTAGCATATCCGGAAATATTTTTATCCCAATAATTCTGGCTGAAGATACAAATCTCTAAAGATGCTAGCAGCTTCTGAACTCAATCCATATCTGAATTCTGAAGATCTTGCTTGCACAGTACTACAATATACATCCCTAAAACTTTGGGGACAAAAATCTGCAGGCTTAATTTGAAAGATTGCCAGAAAGGACAATTGCGATATGGTAGCAAAAGGGAGATCAATCTAATAATGAGCAAGGGTATTAAGCATGGAATGGGACCTGACCATTGTCACCATGGATGGTGCCGGTCTTCGCCTTTGATCTGAACTTTGGAAATAATGGCTAGGAAAGCAAAAGCTCCCAGCCATCCATTTACCAACTAGCTAGCACACCAGTACTAGTACTGCATCTGCATCATGGCTGCCTGCCTAAGCTACTAGCTCAATCAAACTCTCAACAGTGACAATTCTTTACTTGATTATCTTTAGCCCATAATCCCTTGCTGGCTCCTCCAGTGGAGTATAGCCTGACGCGCGGATGCATTTCTGATACAGTGCAGGAACTGTTCCGATTGAGATTACGACACCTTTTCTCCTCCCCATGATCGTCGATTCGATTTATCTGGGGGAGTAGGGGAGATCTTTTTTGAACTAAAGGTCAATGCATAATTGGAGCACTTTGGGTGATGGATTTCGCATGAAAAAAAATATGATCATACATGATATCTCTGCATGATCAGGTGTGCATTCTTGTCTGACTAATATTGGATGGTTAATAAACCGTTGTAAAAACCTTGGAATTATTCCATCCTCTTTTGGACAGACACTGCAAATGGAACGTTGAGGTGTGGGATCATGATGATGCTATAGCTAATTAAGCATGTAGTAATTCAATCTCTCTATCAATTGTGGATCATATTTCAGAAGTTCAGAGAGGGTAGGGTACCTAACTACCTACTAGTAGAAGAAATGGTAACAAGTCTGAATCTCAAATCTGAATCAGTACCTTCTGTAGATCGGATTGCCCATTCTGAACTTGAAGCTTGGTGCATCGATCGATCATTTAGAGATCTGATTGACCTGTGTTCATTCAACAGAATCCAATTTTTTTTTTAGACTGGTCTGCAGAATCCAGATTTGAGCGAACGAAATCAAGAAACGTAAGAGCCTGAATGCAAACATGAGAAAATACTGGACGAGATCCGATTGATATTTCTCGAAAAAAAAAGGAAAAGATCGGAAGCAATGATGCATAGAGCTCCAGAGAAAGCGGCGACGGCGGCGCTCGGAGTGGCGCCGTTGCAAGTCACCCGTTGCGCTGACGGCTGGGACCCACGTGTCAGCGTTACCATGCCCACGCGGGTTCGGTGAGGAAAACTCCGACCTCCCCTGGATCTCTGTGAGACGTCCGATCAAGGATGTGCGGTAGAGATTAGATAGGAGACAAAATTTTCACATTGGTCCTTTGCGTATCATGAATTTCCGCCTTTTTCATATGGGCCTTGAAAATCGGGGTAACTCGATCCATTTACGAGGCATTTGGGCCTGAATGGTTAAACGGGCCAAATTTACTAAAGGCCTCAAGGGGATAGACAAGAAAACTAAGAACCCTTCGGATATTTTTTTTATCGCAAACGCGTAAAAGAATTGCACGTTAATATATTAGAAGAAAAAAGAGTTTTAGTTACACAATGCAATCAGGTTCAGATAAGGGCGGCATGCCCATGCCCATGCTCGTTAGGTTCTGATAAGTACGTAGACGAACATAACAGACACATTTTACAGACTAATTAACATGTATGCAAATCTGGTTTCATTTTTGTGTATATACACACACATTCTTTTTGGGCCGAAGTCTTTAGGTGGGCCGGATTAACTCAATGGCTAAATCGGAGAGCTAGATGGTGATCCGAGGGGATTAGGAGAAAAAAACTCCGACCCTTTGGATCTCAGTGAGACGTCCGATCAAGGATGTGCGGCACAGATTATCGCGTCAGTCCTTCCCTCTTCTTTTTAGCTGGGCCAGGCAAATCGATCCATACCACAAGGATTTTGGGCCCGAACGGTTAAATGGGCCGAATTTACTTCGGGGCTTCATTTCAAAACTGCCGAGATCAAGAGGTTCGGAAAATAAAACTCCGAACCCCCTTGCAGAAGAAAATCGGTCGCGTGTTTAAACATTGATCGGCTTCCGTTTGTAATTCGGCGAAAACATATTCGAGAAATCGAAGGCAAATGAATCCGAGAAATCTAAGGGGGTAGAAATCAAGCAAGGGAAAAGGATCAATATATACAATCTGCAGGAAATGGAGAACGCCATAGGGGATACGGAGACGAAAACTCCGAACCTATTTGGATAAACTGCAAATTTACGTATTTACATCAGCAAATCGTCTTACATTAATTAACGACGTCGGCACCATTTTCTGTAAGCCGTACATGTGCAAATTAATAAATCTAGTGTTACTGGATGCATCAACCAAATTAAGACAATCCCTTTTGCCTCTGATGATTAACAAGCTACAGGTAGCTAGCGATCTTTCTCTTTTTCTTTTTTTTTTGACACGTACGCTTGTGTTTAGAATTTTTTTATGGGCCGAACTAAAGTGGAGAAGACAAAATAAAATTAAAGAGCCTCTAAAAGAAATTGTAAGAGAAAATGGCAATTCATGGGGGTTCGGAGAAGAAAACTCCGACCCCTTTCGATCTTTTCATCTTTGGTACTTGTCATATACGGAGCGGTATATTCAGCAACACACTTACACACATACTGTATCTAATGATCGTATATATATATGTGTGGACTAATTGATCTGCAATTTAGTGCTGAAATATAAATACAATTCTAGATGTATGTATATCATCTCCGTAAGGCGCAGATTGAACTGTGCGAATCTGAAGCTGTGAAACTCTGAAGACGTGCAGTATATTTCATCAAGTTTTTCAGTACTCCAAACAGAAACGATCTACAAGTGCGGATTGATCATTTAGTATAAATTGGTTGCTTCTGCGGTTGCAAATTAAAGCACATTTGCTGGAGTGTATATGAATTGGATTGCTTCATGGGCCAGTTATTAAGAGCGTATGCAAATGCAAGCATAGGATATGCAAAACTAAAGCAGAAAAGGCTGGAGTAGCTGATGGATGCATGCATGCAACAGCCATGAACTGTGTTGGTGACATGAAAGAGGCAGCCAGATCAGTATGCATGGATATGGAAGCTGCTAGCTGTTGCATGCACACATCTTAAAAATTGGCTTCTGACATGAGTGTTGCTACTGCTTCCTTCTGCATCTCAGCATCTGCATGATACCTCATGTCAAGACTGCCATCAACGTACGCAGATAGTATGGCCCTGTTCAGATCTCATAGTAAAATTTTACACCATATCACATCGAATGATTGGACACGTGATATGTATAGAGTATTGGAGTATTAAATATAGACGAAAAAATAACTAATTACACAGATTGAATGTAAATTATGAGGCGAATCTTTTAAGCCTAATTACGCCATAGTTTAACAATGTGGTGCTATAGTAAACATTTACTAATGATGGATTAATTAGGCTTAATAAATTCGTCTCGCGGTTTACAGGTGGATTATATAATTTATTTTGTTATTAGTCTATGTTTAATACTTCAAATGTGTGTCTGTATATCCGATGTGACATGTCAAAACTTTACACCCCTAGATCTAAACACAGCTTGTATCGGAGTAATACTACTGCGTACTCAGGTGGTGTTTGGATCAGGGACACATCGGATGCTTGGACACTAATTAGAAGTATTAAACATAGACTAATAATAAAACTAATTGCATAAATGAGAGCTAATTCGTGAGACAAATTTTTTAAGCCTAATTAATCCATAATTAGCACATGTTTACTGTGGCATCAAATAGGCTAATCATGGATTAATTAGGCTTAATAGATTCGTCTCGCGAATTAGTCTATAGTTATGGAATGGATTTTCTGATTAGTGTTGCATGCATCATCCATATGTACTCCTACGCTACTCCCTCTAGAAACACAATATTAGGGATGAGTATTCATCCTCTGAATTGAACTTCTTTTAAGAGAGGGACTACTTCATTGGATTATTGATGTACGCTCCCTCCGTCCTTAAAAAAAACCGCACTATAAGTGAGCTTTTTTTTTCTCACGGAGGGGTAGATTATTTGCTCTACGCTTCTAAAAATATGTTTTCTAAAAAAAACTACTATGTTGGTTAGATCACTTATTATAAACTACTCCATCCGTTCCACATTAATTATATAAGATGCATTGTTTTTCTAAATTTGAATTTCTTTTATGTTAATTATAACTATAGAAAAATATAACAATATATATTTTCAACATCAAACAAACATACGTAAAGTTTAATAAAACTAATTAAGTTTGATTTTAGAAAAAGTTAAAGCAAAATGGAGGAAGTAGTTCATAAGTTTATTTTTAAAAATATTTAATATTTAGATTTCTTATAACCAACTAGATAATCCGCTATAACAATAATCCAGCGAATCATCTGTCAAAGAAAACCAAGTATTTTTCACGAACGCGTAAAATAATTACACGTAAATATAACTTAACAGATGCGTGTGGAATCCACTTGTTATCTGCAAATACAAATGCATACTCAATCAAACCAACTTGAGAAAACACCAGTCCTGTTGCTCATACATGCAGTAGTCAGTAGTCTTTTTTTTTTTAAGAATCACTATTCACACACGCACTTACTGCTGTCAACGTGTAGATGTACTTGTTTACAAAACAGAGAGGAGAAAGGTTACCAATTTAGATGTAATCATGTACTACACTATTATAATTGTAATTAAGTAGCTATGGCGACGCATGCAAAGGCATCTATTCACACGTGTGCCCTACTCAACGAGCTGTACATGCTTTGACTGGTCAGTGCTCACACGAGTCATTCTCTGCAATTAACGGAACCTCTCTTTGTCAGACGTAATAACCGGTTTTGTACACTTATATCGCTAATTATCACCTCTCTGAAATGAGAGATAGATGTGGATATATCTATAGACGCAATCAATATATATTAGATTAATTAGTTGGTTAATTTTTCTGATCGATTATATATACATCCTCCCTGGACTGAATGATTTAGCGTCCCTTTAATTGATTTCATATATAATTTGCAACTACACGTATTAGCTGGCTGTTATAGCTGCCTAGCTAGCATGCATGTATATATGGGGCTAATTAAAACACCACTCCTGATTCATATTATATTGCAATAGCTACAAAAGGGATTACCTTTTTTTTTATGAAGAACTATATACATGTTCACTAGTACAGCTAACAGTCTGAAGAAAAAAAGGAGAGCAAAACTGCCAACAGAGAGGCAAAAGGGAGGTTCCTTTTTCTGAAAACATTTGAACATGAGAGATCCTGAAAGAATTATAAAAAAGGAGTAATTAAAACTTAAGAGCTACTATAGCAATCAAAGACAATGTACAACATAACAAGAGAATCTTTAGGGATTTGGGATCACTGGAAACACCATTTTGTACATGCAGCACGCACTACATAACTCAATGTATGAGCATCTCGACACAAAAAATAATGGGTGTAGTACTGTATGGGGAAGCTAGAGCTCAAGGCTTCAAACAGGAAACAACTCAGAGTTGATACATAACAACAAGGTTTACACCAACACCAATGCACTGGTGTCAAATATACTCCCCTGCAGCTAGCTGATCGAGAATCAGCTAGCTAGTGCCCTGACAAACATATACTGTAGCTATATCGATAATATTTAAGTTTTCAGATTAATCAAAAGTCCGATGTTTACTTTTGATTAGTGTTCTAAGAATTGAATGAACAAAATTAAATCTCATCATCATGATCAGCATGAATGTAGCTTGCAAATTAATATAAAAAATCAATATGTAGTATATATATTGTCATAGAAATGCACATCTTATATATGAACTTGTTATTGTTTGGTAAGATCATGATCTCGTATATATGCACAACGAGAAGACATCCACTCGAGAGTTTAGAATAGTTTCCCGCAGTTCCATTTCATTTATTAGAAGGTAAAAATCTACGTGCCCTTTGCAGTATATTCTTTCTACAGCATTTATGGTAGCTACTGGATCATAAAGTAAACAGAAGAGAAAAAAAAAGGCACAGTAATTAACTACTTGGCCGGTTTAGCTGAAATTATATATAGTTACCACCAAAAATTAATAAAGATATATCTGCTCTGCTGATCTCAAACCCTTGTCATGATTTGACCATGAATGAAGAATAGAGTCCTACTCTGGTGCTTTCTACTCGGAGTAAAAAGTAATCTAGGCCCTTGATCATATTTAATTGTAGGGTTAAGATCTAGTTTTACTCCTACCAGAATTAGTGGAAGTGAAATGTGGAGGGGTGTTTTTGTCTAGGAAAAATAATTCGCGAAGGGGTATTATTGTTTTCCGATCCATAGATCGATCACCATGTCATCCTCGTCGGAGTTGGTCGTGCAAGATCTTAATCGATCCATGTAATCCATGAAACAACACAGTGATCGGAAACGGCAAGAAGACGAATGAGCCGAGACGACGCTGCCAAGCAAATGACATTGCGTGCGTGCGTGACGCTGCCGCCGAAGCCTAGGCTGGAATTTTTACTACCGCCAGAACTCCTGCTCAAGATCGTCACTTGCTCGGACGCCACCACACTCGTCCGCTCCCAGACGGACGATGCGACTGAGGAAGCGGACAAGGCGGCGACGGCGGGGAATACGGATGGCGACGGAGGGGGCGGACAAGGCGGCTAGGCCGGGGGAGGAATAGCGAGGTGACTGCGTGCAACGGAGTTCAGACCTGATACGATGCGAACAGAAGAAAACATCCCATGCCAAAATTACCCCTAAACGATATTAGGAGATTACTTACCTGCTCTTTAAAATAAACGGTCAAGATTATTCTACTTGGAGTAGAATACTGCAAGTAGATTGCACCGGAGCATTACTCTGAAGAATATGAATCTAGCTTGCCTTTTCTCTTGAACAGTGTGAATCAGTTATCGGAACAATTTATAGGCAATTAATTAATTAACCTCAGTGACCAAAGTATAAATGGAAATCTGCTAGCTACCTATTAATTCCCTTAAACTGGAATCAAATTAATATGTCCCAATGCAACATTATTTGGAGAGAGACAAAAATTGAAGGAGAAAAAGGTAAAGAATCCACGCACAGTGCAAAGAGTTGGTTTTTCTCTCTAGATCTACTCCAAGCAACAAATTAACAGGAAGTAAATATCCATATATTTCTCCCGGAGTGTACTACAGAGCATGATATATGTACTTCATGTTTCATTATCCTACCAGGCAAGGTAGAACATGAAGAAAAACGAAGATGAAAAATAGATCACCAAAAACTATAAAAAAAAAAGCATTTTTTAGATCAGTCAAGCTAGCTAAGAGTTGTGATACCCAAGCAAAGGTAAAGATCAGATGAACATACATATGAAAGAAGAAAGATTAAGCAAGGTATTTGTACCTGATGAATACAGACTAGCTAGTTCCAACCATGAAGGATAGGATCTGCATGGAACAAAGGCCTTTAATGATGACAGCCTTTTCCTCATCACCCTTCATCTCATCAAAGGCTAATTATTGCAGAGAGAGAAGAGAAGAGAAGAGATCCCAAGTAGCTCTGATAAGTGTGCAATTGTACAGTCATGCAGTCTTTCCCCCCATCATTACACCAATCTGCATCTCATGCAGTTCATGCCACCAAGATCTACTCCTCCTATCTATCCATCAGATGAAACAAAAAGCTGATTAGTTAAGCAATATTCAGTTAACTTACCCAGTTCATCAGATTTGGAAGAGGCAAAAGCAGGGGGTAATAAGCTAGCTCATGATCGATATGCATGGGAGCCCTTCTGTTTGGGGGGAATGAAGCCTGGTCCGAGATCTACAGACATCTACTCTCATCTCTTTGACTGATCTTTTTCTTAAGATCGATTTGAGAGATCAAAAGATCAAGCTAGGAGATCGAGAAAAGAAGATATCAAAAGAGAGAGAAATTAAAAGTAGCCCCGAGCCAGACAACATTCCCCTCAAAATGAAAAGGCTCCCTCTTTAGCTAGATAACTTTTGCTTGCTTGCTTGCTTGCTTGATCATATCTTTCTCTCAGCTTCTTCTACCTGCAGCATCTTCCTCACCTCACACCTCTATTTGACTCTCACTTTTTCTCTTGATATTTGTATCATTACTAGAATGAAACTAGCAGCAGCTAGAGCTTTCTGTGTAGGGATGAGTAGTGAGCATGCAGGAGAAGCCATGGTTTTCTGGTTCCAAATGGAGAGGGTGGAGATGCATATGGTTGCAGATGGAGCTAGGTAGAGGTGTCCAAAGCTAGTGTGGTGGCTGTGTCTGTGGCTGCTTGGGGAGGAGGGGATCAATGGTCTTTTAATTGGGGCAGTTAGAGTGGACCTCTGCCCACAAGAATTGCTATCTTCACCTACCCACCCCCAAGCCGGCCTACCATCCATGCATTTTCCATTCTACTTTCTCTTCTCTTGTCTACTATTCCATTATTTACAAACCTAATGTGTTGAAATTTACAACTGATGGAATTATTAATTAGGCATGTCTGAAATTGGATTTCTCATATGGATTTTGTAGGAACTAGAACTCCCTCAATAACACAATTAAAGAGATTTGTCAACACTATATATGACCCTATTCTTTTCTGATTATACCACTAGATTATCATGTGCATGCTTCCTAGCTCCAAATAATTAAACAGTGTGATTTTTTTTTGCAATTTTTTTCTTTAACAATATTTCTTAGATTTTTTTTAAAAAAATAACTTGTTGGCTTTCTAATCTTCCATTCGTTCGTTTGAGCCCTCGAATAATTGTGAAACACTTAATTTCATCTATAGTTCATCATCCATCATCACTTTCAAACATACACGAGATATATGATGCATGGATATATACCTTTGCCCACATGATCAATGGTGGTTTCTTGATTTTTAACTATAAGAAACATTTTATTTTTAAAAAGTCTTCAACATCAAGATTTGGTTTTAATTTTTCATAAAATGTTCTCCTAATAGCTTTAGAGCCAAATTTGTGAAAGTATTTTGAAATATGAATCTACCAGCATAGTTTTTATAAAGTAAATGTACTTTACAATTCGACGAATTATTGGTGAAAATCAATAAAGAATGACTTTCTACGATTAAAATATATATGTCTTATAAAACTCCATGAATGGAGCACTTACTTGAGACTAATCTTGAGTATGTATACCACTTGTAATTAAGAAAAGCCAAGAAAGAAATGTTATCACTATCGCCTGTTTGCATCAACCATAGGATTAGCTAGCTTAGAAGCTTGTGGTCATTTGTTTGGGGGATGGATGATTGCTGACCGCCACGCAATCGATGGTCAAGATTCAAAAAAGGCATCTCTACTCTACAGTCTACACATATAAACCTTTCCTAATCCTAGAGAAAAAGGCTATATGTAATCAGTGCACATTTTCAAGCTCTAACCCCATGCCTGACCCCCACCCTGTCAGACAGGCCAAGAAAAAGGTTTCAGAGGAAAAAAGATCACCATGAGGTCCATCCATGGCAGCAGCTAGCAAGAGAGAGGGAACATGCACCCATGACTCACATACTATACACTTGAGAAAGTTAGTGCAGCCTTTTCTTTTCATCCATTTCTCTAGCTTTTCATCCATCCCTCTACTGTTTCTTCAGAGTTGAGACACAAGTTTAAATGCAGAGTTTATGATGAAGGACATGATTGAGAGAGAGAGAGAGAGAGAGAGAGAGAGAGAGAGAGAGAGAGAAAGAGAAGAGTATTTGGGTGTGTTTGGGGGGGGGGGGGGGGGGGCCGGCTGGGCCTGTGCCTGGTTGGAAAGAAGACGAAGCAGTAAAAGACAGGACGAGGAGGGGCAGGACGCCATGGCCATGGCCTGGCCTGGCCGGGTATTGCATGATCTTACTGCCAATTTTTCTCATGTTTTTTCTTTTGTACTCCAGAAATATATTCGTGGTTTCGTGGACCAAAAGGAGAGAAGACACACACATGGAGTAGTAAAGCGCAATCTCTATCGCTTTCTTCTCGGACGAGGCATGCAGATGCAGAGAAACGGGAATACGCAATGGCAAATGCAAAGCAAATTTGTTTTTCCGTCAGAGAGACTGATCGATCGATAAGTTGATGGATGTGACCACGACGCAGGACGAAGCCCCATGCCTGCGCTGCTGCGCCGGCTGGCCGGCCGGCGAGCTGGCCGCGGCGCCATTGCCACTTCAACGCATGCGACGCAGCCCCCCTGATGCAGATGCCAAGCTCGCTCTGATGCCAAACTGCCATACCTTGCACTGCTCACACACGAGCATATATATATACTGATATGTGTGCAGATAAATATATTCGTTTCAGAGCTAGCTATCTCCTCTCATGGCAGCATGCTGCAGATATATACAGTAGTATATTCATTCAGAGCTAGGCCAGCTGCTCTCACGAGTCACTCGTCCATCGATCTCCTTCTTCCCTTGCACTGGATGCCATGCATGCTGCTACGTGCTGCTGCTGCTGCTGCCACACTTTAATTTGCCTGAAATGTATGCATCGATCAGACTCAGTGCATGGATGGTTACAGGTGAATTTCTTGCATGCAGGAGGCTGTGTATGATCATAATGGAGTAGAATCTGTACTCCATTCGGCACCAGATTCTTGCTTTCGCCGCATCACGAACGCATGCATCGCTTGATACTAGTACCTCAGGAAAAAAAAACGGGCATTATATATGCTCTGCTGGCTGACTTGACAATTCCTTTTCAGTTTAGCAATGTTTCAGCTGCATGCGCTAGCTTCGTCTCAAAAGGAATGCAAAGACCCTGAAATAGATCGATCACAGACGTGTACTATATCAGAGAGGTTGCAATCCTACGCCCTATTAAAATCCGCGATAAATTAATTAAACAGTAGTTTAATTCTTCAGTTCTCAGCAGGAGTTGGGTTTCAGAGACTTTCAGTCTATATATCGTGTATAGCGAATTCCTTTACTGAAAATGTGACATTCTTGTTTTTCTTTCTTTCAGAAGAGAGAGCGTGGAATTAATATTGCAATTAATGATCATTACATACATGCATGCAAAACAAAACATGTTTTCAGAAAGCAGCAAAACCTGTTTTCAGAAAGCAACAATTAATATTAATTGATGGTGTTTATTTTCTCAAGAAATCAAGAGCTAGGCAGTTAATTGGCTGGCTGGCAATCAAAGGGTTAGCTAGCTAGATGGACGCAAATGATGGGGTTCTTCCCCTGGTCTGCTAGCTGTTTGTCCTTACATACATGACATCGAACTGCTTTTTTGGAGAGTGCATGTCGCATTGCATGGCCTGTCTGGGCGTCTGTCCGTTTTTATTCTCGATCGACCAATTGGCAAGATGATGATTTCCTCTCTTTTCTTCTTCTTCGTCTTCGCGAGTATCGAATGCAGTACGCGATCAGTAATGTCATATGTACTCTAGCTATAGCTAGCTTGAATGATTATATGATTCCATAACGGTTTGTGGTTAAAAGTTCAATTCAATTCGATCAGCATTGTACTGGACCAATTAATTAAGTAGACCAATAATCGCATATCGAATAAGCTACTAGCTAGGCAGTAGCTAGATATATATATATATGGGAAATTTGTACTACTCCCTTCGTCACATTTTAAGTGCAACTTTCCGTGCCCAACTTTAATCATCCATCTTATTTTAAAAAAATTATAGTTAGTATTTTTGTTGTTATGAGATAATAAAATATGAATAGTACTTTATATGTGACTTATGTTTTTCTAAATTTTTTTTAAAAAAAATAAATAAGACGGACGGTCAAAGTTATACACGGAAAATAATTATGGATAAACTTAAAATGGGACGAAGGGAGTCCTAACTAACTTAGGATTCTGTTTTTGTTGTTCTTTTCGTTCCTGTCCAGAAAATGTATATGCTGCTCTATCATGCTACTTATTGCTATGGCAGTAGCATGAGCTTTATGTTCCTAGTTCTCCAATGTTACACGCCACACAGATGCAGCATATGCTGTACGGCTGATTATGCTTGGCGTTTAATGGGCCGTTGCTGGCTAGGCCGGTGCAGTTGGAGATCAAACGGCCCAATCAGCCCATCGGGATGTCCTGGAGATGGCGTGAGCGGACATGGGCCTCTGTTTATTCGGTTGTACGGCCATATTGGGCCGACGTGGAGCACATCTGCATCTTTGTCGTCGGCCGGCCCAGTGTCATCTCTGACACTGTATTTTTTTTTCTCCCTTCAAAATCGCTCGAACTGATGTTATTCCTGTAGAAAATCTGAACTTGGGAGCATAATTTTCAAGTTTTATCCTTGCCAAATTTTTATAAGACCACAAACAAAATATACTCTGCACACCTCTATTATGTTACATGAGAGTAGTATTAGTAAGGACATAATACTCTATTCTCCTAAAATATATAGTAAATGTACAAAAATACTTGAATAGACTATTATATATGCATATAATACTACGAGTCTAAACTTTTGACTGTCCTATTCATAAAATAGAAGTATAAAATAAGAGAAAGACTTCAGAACGGTTTGTAACGGAATAGTTGATGTCAGCACGATATCGTAGATACCGATCTAATACATTCGATACCAAATATGATACCATATAGATATCAGATTCAATATGATGTAAGTTGTCTCGTTGAATTGTAATACTCCTTCCATCCACAAAAGTTACACATATTACTTTTAACACCAAGACTAAGGAGAAATTAAATCACCTTGAATGTTACAAAATTAAGGAGTGAATACAAGCATGCAACTAATAAGTATTTAGATGACTCCTTGGGTTCTAATAAAACATTTAATTTATCTCTTCATTTAAGTCTTGAATGCATAAAGACTACAAATAGGAACAACTTATTTGAAAAAAAAATCAAATGTGAAATAGGTGTAACTTTTGTGGATGGAGGGAGTACTACCATTTTGTTGTATTTCTGATAAAAAAAAGGATACATACAATTAATTAACTATTAATCTACCACGGAATAAGAGACCAAGTGTGATCTTCCTTCGAGAAAAAAAAGGACAGGTGTAATCGTAATCCAATCCAATGGCCCAAGGCGACTCGTTTCCGTGAAGGTTGAGGGGCGGCAAACAGACGAGAGACCAGAAGCATCGGAGGAGAGGCAAAGGCAACACAAACCCCTTCCCCAAGACGCCTTCCCGATAAACCGACTAATCCCCCTTCGTCTCTTCCTCTTCCTTTTCCTCTTTTCCCATCCCATCGATTCCCCTCCTCCCGCTCCGGCTCCGGCGGCCGCAGATCCATCCGGTGTGTGGGGGGAGAACCTCTCCCTCCTCCCTCCCTCGCCGCCGGCCGCCGCCCGCAGATTGGATTGGATTGGGTTGGATTGGATTGGATGAGGTCGTCGGAGTCGTCGCGGTTCGTGCAGGAGCTGGTGCTCTACGCCGCCAGCGCCGCCCTCAGCTGCCTCGTCCTCTTCGCCGGCCTCCGCCAGCTCGACCCCAACCGCGCCGCCTCCCAGAAGGCCCTCCAGCACAAGAAGGAGATCGCCAAGCGCCTCGGCCGCCCCCTCGTCTCCACCACCCCCTACGAGGTTCGATTGTTTCCACCCCCAATCCCCAATCCATCGATTCGATTCTAGGGTTCTCCTCTCTCACCTATGCAATCTCACTCTACCCTAGGATGTGATTGCTTGCGATGTCATCAACCCCGACCACATCGACGTCGAGTTCGATTCCATCGGCGGCCTCGACCACGTCAAGCAGGCGCTCTACGAGCTCGTCATCCTCCCCCTCCGCCGCCCCGAGCTCTTCACCTTCGGCAAGCTCCTCAGCCCGCAGAAGGGCGTCCTCCTCTACGGCCCCCCCGGCACCGGCAAGACCATGCTCGCCAAGGCCATCGCCAAGGAGTCAGGCGCCGTCTTCATCAATGTCAGGATTTCCAACCTCATGAGCAAGTGGTTCGGCGACGCCCAGAAGCTCGGTCAGCTCCGCGCGCAAATCCTTCGGTTTAACTGCCGCTCCTTTTCATTTGTTTGTTGTTATCGCTGCTGATTTATGAAACATCTTGCAGTGTCTGCTGTATTTAGTCTCGCACACAAGCTGCAGCCGGCTATTATCTTTATCGACGAGGTCGATAGTTTCTTGGGCCAGCGACGGACAACGGACCACGAAGCTATGACTAATATGAAGACTGAGTTCATGTCCCTCTGGGATGGCTTCACCACTGATCGTAAGTACACACTCTGCTTCAAACTTATACATGAACATATTCCATGTCCAAATTGCTAGTAACTATGCAAATATCCTATTCTCTTTATTATGTAATGATATACCTTTGCCACTTTGAATATTTGGGTTGGCGGCCACGAGGGTTGGTTCTAGAATTCCATGTTACTCGTTCTCTCAATATGCCCCTGATTCCCCACAACGCGGACTTATATCTACATTCGATTTTTATATTAGTAGATATAAGATATATCAAAAAGACCATGTATAGTCTGGAATACTGTTCAGTGTGCTCCATTACCTAAGAGAAAAAGTATGTTGCAACACACAAGTGCACTATGCAGCTCGCTTATGATGCCGCATGACATTCCACTGTGCATTGTGACATCGATATGCTATTTAGTTCGGGTTTCTTGCATCGCATATGGATTCTTGCTAAACAGTGCTGTCCAAAGCTTTACTTCCGTGTTGTATCAAACTTGAGCCCATTTCCAACCTATATATAAATTTATCTCTCATAACCTTCAATTTTATGCTCAAGTTTTCTTATGTTAGAATATCAACATGCTTAATGCTTTGTTACGTTGAAGTCTGAACAAATTCATATTTCATTGTTGGCATTCAGCACAGAATATTCTTCTTAAACCTTGCACATTAGTTCAAACATATGTAAGTTATGTAAGTTAATTGTTAGATAGGTTATCTTACAAACATACAATGATGTATTGTGCACAATATTGTTAATTGGGGTGATTTTTTATAAGAAAGTTTGAAAATCGCTGCCTGCAGGCACAGGTGGCAGTGGTTCATAAGGGGAAACAATTGTTACAATTTAGAATTTCGAACTGGAAGTTAGTACTAATAATTATTCCAGTTACCACATATCCCTGCTATTATGGGCATTGTTGTAATCTGATCAATTGCTTGTGATAACCATGCACCCAAAGTGGCAGACCGTTAGTGTATAGAGTTACCATGCAATCTGAATATAATGTCAAATTGGTGAAATCAACACATATAAACTTCAACGAAATTAATTGAGTTGGACCTTTTTCCAATCTTTTTAGCTTTTGTTTTTTTCTTGAAATAACTAATTATGTCTAAGCTGGACATGAGAAAACGATTTTTTTTTTACAATACACGGACCGTCACATGGCTTCTCTCTCAAGAAATAGAAATCGATGTATCAACTGTCGTAATTTGTTTTGATCATGTCTTATTATTTAGGGTGCCAGACATAGTCTCTTCAAACATAGGGAGCAACTTATTTTGTAACTAGCAAACAAGTTTCCTGGTTACTCCTGTGCAACATCTTATGATTTATTTATATGGCTTTGCAGAAAATGCCCGTGTTATGGTCCTTGCTGCTACTAACAGACCCTCTGAGCTAGATGAGGCTATCCTCAGGCGCTTTACTCAGATATTTGAAATTGGGATTCCTGTTCAGAGTGAAAGAAGCAAGATACTTAGGGTTGTATTGAAGGGAGAAAATGTCGAGCCTAACATTAATTACGATTACATCGCCGGTCTATGCGAGGGATTTACTGGATCAGACATTCTAGAACTGTGCAAGCAAGCAGCATTCTACCCTATCAGGGAGCTGTTGAACAATGAGAAAGATGGGCGAAAAGCAGATGTGAGTATTCATTCCTTCTTGTTGCTTACTGTGTTCACTGCTGATTTTTTTTAGTATTACTACCACCATTAATTAGTTCATTATTACTTCCTTTGGGTAATGTTTGTCTACACCAGTTGACCTTGCGAACGGCAAACCTCATGCATGAATCCACTTGTGCCAGCATAGCCGCTGATTCTGTTTAATTGGATTTCATGGTCAAATTTCATTTACAGTTTCTAGTTGGACTTTAATGATACAGTAATAACTGAAACAACATCAGATTGATTATTGCCCATTACATGTTGGTTCTGACTATCTTGCCTCCTGATTGCTGGTTCAGAAACCAAGACCCTTGAGGCAATCGGATCTGGAGAAAGCTTTATCAACGTCTAGAAAGGGGAAAAGGGCCGCGAATGGAACATCTACGGGGTTGCAGTCACCGGTGTGGATTCGGCCCTCTGATTCAGAAGACGATCAGGTACAGAGCGCAATTTTTGAGATATCTAAGCTGATGTCTCGAATAGTTCAGAACAGTCAGTCGGAACCGCAAGAGCCATCTTCACCTTAATCTAATCCTTTTGCTAGATCTCATGAAAATCCAAAGGAGTAAGCGCAGGCATTACCTCGATATCGTTAGGTTTTCTAATGCAGCTTGCAAGATTCAGGGTTTGTATGGATTCATTTAGCGTCGCGAGGCTGCGCTGGTTTTTGAAGTTAATGGCAGCTGGCAATGCTTTGCACTGATGTTATAAGTTAAATTCAGAATTATATGGCCCGAGTCAGGATTCTATGGTTCTGTGAAATTTGTTATCATCACCTTGTATTTTAATTTAATTAAACTACTTTAGGGTAGACTCTATACATAACGAAGAAAAGAAAGGCCCGCTTGCATGGTTTACAAACAATCTTGTTTTTTTGTCGGAGCACTCTGCTGTGACTTGAAATAGATACACGATGAGATGAAACTAACGCTTGCTTGTCACCCAAGAGCTGAATTAATATATACTTTTCCCTTCAATTATGTGTCTTGGAAACCAAGATGTCTCAGCTTCTGCAGTAAGATCTGTCATCCATGTATATTATGAACTTGCGATGATGATGATGATGTCAAGAGCATGAGTACTCTCTCGATGGCGATGAGCCGATGACGTCTAAAGTAAGTAATTAAGAGCATGAGCACCTGCTCACTCTCTTGATGGCGCTGGTCTCCATGATGGAGAGCTCGTCGGAGAGCGAGAGCTTGGTGCCCCTGAGCATGAGCGCGGCGTTGGCGTTGGCGGCGGCGTCGCCGTTGATGCCGTCCATCTCCAGCAGCGACCTCCGCGAGACGATGGCATGGATCTCCCGGAGGAGGCCGAGGAAGGCCTCCTCGACGTTGTCCCCGCTGAGCGCCGACGCCTCGGAGAAGAAGAGGCCCTGGTCCTCGGCGAAGGCGGCGGCCTCGTCGGCGGCGACGGCGCGGGCGTGGGAGAGGTCGGCCTTGTTGCCGATGAGCATGACGACGATGGAGTTGTCGGCGTGGGCGCGGAGGTCGTGGAGCCAGCGGGCGGCGTGGTGGAAGCTCCGGCGGCTGGTGACGTCGTAGACGAGCATGGCGCCGAGGGCGCCGCGGTAGTAGGCGCTGGTGACGGCGCGGTACCTCTCCTGCCCCGCGGTGTCCCAGATCTGGGCCTTCACCCGCTTCCCGCCGATCTCCACCGTCCGCGTCTGGAACTCGATGCCGATGGTCGACTTGGAGTCGATGAAGAACTCGTCCTTTGTGAACCGCCCCAGCAGCTGCGTCTTCCCCACCGCCGAGTCCCCGATCACCACCACCTTGAACACATAATCCTCCTCCTCCATCGATATCTATCAATGGACTAATCACTAGCTTGCTTAGCTTGATTGATTGATCAAAATATGCAAACTATGCACAGCTGAGCGAGGTATTGTGTGCTTATATGGAGCTGTACCTTTCTTCTGAGATCACGTATGCGGTATGCATGCGTTGATATTGATTGATTATTGTAGAGTAATTAAGATGCTGGCGTATGGAGATTGGAGATGTAGAGGAGAGTGGTTGATCTTGCTCCTACTGTGGATGTATATTGTCTTTCCATTAATTTCTTAATGGATTCGATCGGAGGCGGCAAATCAATTAACTTAACAAGATTGAAAAGATCAGTTCCTGTTGGCTGTCAGTCATGGGGGTTAATTACTAATTACTAATGGTAGACAGGTTGTGGCTCTCTTGCTCCTGTATATATGTACTCTCCCTTTCATCATTCATTTGTAGAGTACCTGAGTACGTGCTAATAGCTAAGCTAGTAGTGTGTCACAAGCAAAGGGAGCACTGCTGTTACTCTTTCAAGATTGATCGTTCCTTTCATGAACTTGCACTCGCGTACATACATATATCCATCAATTAGTGCTTGTAATGTGCTTCATGAATCATGCCTTATGTCAGTTTTCATAGGATCAATAGTGTATGAGCAGCGTATGTATACAACTAAAAGATACTCCATTTGTCAAGTCTTACAGAAGCACAAAAGTTAATCCAATGAAATCAGGGATATGCAGCTCATGCTACGCTACTGTATATATATATTCTTATAGCTCAACTGCTCAATCAATATGTAGTACATTGCAGAGATGGATTACGTGTGCGTTAACATCATTCAACTGCTCAATTAATATACAGTACAGGTTCTCAACTGCTACTACGTACCTTCCATCACGCTGCGGCAGTGTCAATCTCCCATGGCGTCTCACGTTCCTCTGCTTTCCTGTTTCAGTTGGTTGCACAACCACAACTTTATGACTCAATTATTCTATTGAGAATTATGAGTTTGGCATTATGCATAATGTGGCTAGTGCATCATCCAAACCAATATATGATTGTCCTTTTTATTATGTGAACTCATTTATAAACCCCAAGGCTGTGACAGATGAAACAGCTTGCTAGCTTCAAATTTTTTCTGTGCAATAAAGATCAAGGTCCCTGAATTATTTAGAGGTTGGCAGCGGTTTTGCAGCAGAAGAACTGCAGAACCACAGTACAACATACTCTCTCCGTCCCAAAATAAGTGCAGTTATGCACTATTCACATTCAACATTTGACCGTTCGTCTTATTTGAAAATTTTTTATAATTAGTATTTTTATTGCTATTAGATGATAAAACGTGAATAATATTTTACGTGTGACTAAATATTTTCAATTTTTTCACAAATTTTTCAAATAAGACGGACGGTCAAACGTTGGGCACAAATATCCACGGCTGTATTTATTTTGGAACGGAGGTAGTATTTAGAATTGAAGGTCATGGTACATGATGTATGATGATTCAGGAATAACATTATGTAAATTACTCCATTCGTTCTAAAATACATCAATCTAGAATTCGTAGCATTGAGATATATCCAATCCGATCCTAGATTACTATATTTTGGGACGTAGCATGTATGGCCCGACAAAAAAAAAAGAGTAGAGATTTAAGCTGATATTTTACTGAGAAATGAATTGGCAATATGCAAGTGTTGCAATGAACAAGCAGCAATTCTGAACATGCGAGGTTTAATTGCAGCGTAGCAGAGTCTGACAGAGTAATGTAATTCTTTAGTAAGAGGTGGCGGCGTGGGGGCGCGCGGGGAGGAGGAGGAGGCGGTCGCAGATGGCGACGAACTCGGCCATGACGTCGGCGACCATGGCGGCCTTGCCCTTGCCGACGAGCATCCTCACCAGCGCGACCACCCGCGAATCCTCAGCAACGTCGACGGCGGCGGCGGCGTCCGAGACGAGCAGCGCGCGCGCGTGGCGGGCGGCACTGGCCAGCGTCCCGGCTCGGAGCGACGCGTCGGCCAGCGCCGCCGCGTACCCCGTCGCCGCGCGGCTGGACGACAGGCGGTGCTGCTGATGAACGACAGGGGGAACTGGCGGCGCCGACGCCGCCGCGGCGCGCGCGCGTGTCCTGCTGCTGGGCCGCGCGGTCGTGACAGCTAGGCGCGCGCGCGGCTGCTGATGCTGCTTGGCCGAGGCGGCGGCGGCGGCGGAGGAGGCCGGGTTGAGATGGTGGAGCGCGCGCGAGGCGGGGAGCGGGAGCGCCCCGTGGAGGTGGAGGGAGACGGCGGCGTCCATGGCGGCGAGCCACGCGGGACACGGCGACGAAATGAGTGGCTTATCGCTTGGCTTGGCTAATCCTACTACGGCGTGATGTGTGGCTGTGATGCGATGGACCGGCCGGAGGAGTCGGAGACGCACACGTCACACGCTACCTGTATATGTGTGGACAAAATTTTCTTTAAAAATTTTATAGATGTAAAATATAGTCTATAATTATAATGTAATTGTATTATAAATTGCATATAACGTACTTATATGTAGCTTTTAAAAATTGTACGGCAAACCCACTATTTTCATGAAGCGAGCAGCCCTCACCCGTACGTACGGACACTATGATTTTTTTTTCCTTTCTCGCTTGCACGAATCTTAAAATGAATCTACGATTTAACGGATTAAATTATATGAAAGTTACCGTGTAATTACAATGATGCTATATATATTTACATATGACGAAGTTTTAACTATAGTAAAATCGAAATTGCAATTCAAATCGAAATTGAAATTGGAGCCCAAAACATACTAACCCAAATCTGGCCCAAAATGCGATCGCTACCAATGGTCTGGTCTGCGATCCAAATTTGGCCCAAAATGATAGCCGTGGCCCAACTTACGGCCCAAATCTGCGAATGCATCGCGCAGCGCTTCTCATGGGGCAGTGGAATCACATGGGCCTCTCTTTGTTGAATTATATGGGCCAAAAGATGGATCACTACATTTGGCCCAAAAAAACTGTAAATGCAGCGAGAGATGGTGATGGGCCCTGGTCGTACAAACGGATGCCGCATGAGAACGGCTATATGCCGTGCCCATGCCGCCTCGCTGGCCGATGTGGTACAAAACATTTTTCTATCGCAAGGATCAAAGGCAGAGTTTATAAAAGCTTAATTTGTCGTTAAGCACCTGCAGAGCTCGCATGACTGACCCAGAAAATACTTTAATAACACTGCTAATCAGTAATCTGGTTCCATTTTCCACGCACAGGAGAGTGATTACTTTTGCATTATTAATTGATGTTGTGATATTTATATGAATACATATATAAATGATATTTCTGCAAGTTGGGTGCAGTTGCAGAGTAGGTTAGTCCCCCCTAGGCCAAGGTCACTCGCACACATCCAGCCCCAGCCAATAGGTTCCAAGGGCCCATTTGCTACTCCACCCACGGTTTTCTCTCAAACCTTCGGCCCTCGAATCAGCTATGTGCCAAACAAAATGCTCATATATACCCATATATATGCACACATCTTTCATTGCATTTGGCCTCCATCTGCCAACAAACTCGCTAGCTACCAGGAGAGGACCATTAACGATTTAATACACTGACACACACACACATATGTGCAAGTTCGATCGATACAAGACAGGAAGAGATCACCATGTCTAGCTAGCTAAATTAATAAGCTAGCTAGAGCTGGTTGCATGGTTGATTAGCTACGACGTGCAGTTGATTAGAGATGGAAGAGATCGCCGGTGGTGGCTCGCCGCCGGCGATGGAGGAGGAGGAGAGGTATGTGGAGGTGGCGTCGAGGTTCTACCGCGTGAAGCCCGGTGCCGGCGGCGGCGGCGGCGGCCGCCGTCTCCACTTCCTCGAGTCGTGCTTCCTCTGCAAGAGCAGCATCGCCGGCGACCGCGACATCTTCATGTACAGGTAATTCAGTTCGCAAATCAATTGATATATATCCTTAATAAATTTCACAGAAATTTTGTGTGTTCAAAGTTCAACAAGGAATTGATCTTGATTAATTTGCATGTGTAGAGGGGATGCAGCGTTCTGCAGCGACGACTGCAGGCAGGAGCAGATGGACATGGACGAGGCGCTGCAGGCGGTGGCGCGCCGCCATCGCCTCCGTTCGTCGGCGGCGCCGGCTTCCGCCGAGGCAGCAGCGGCGGCGCCGGCGAGGTCTCCGATGATGCACCGCCGGCCGACCATCGCCAACTTCGCGGCACGCACTCCAGTGGCCGCCACCAGCTAGTGTTGTGTACTCCTATACTAACATGGTCGAGAGATGAATCTGCCGCTGCGTTCATGATCAACTGCATGCATGCACGCATCGCTCATCATCATCAAACGCCAAAGTTAAATTAAACAGTGTGGATTGGCATATATATATGTATGTAGCCTAGGTAGTTGTAGATCCATGGAATATTACATAGATCCGTGTTTTTTTGCCATCTTCATTTTGTTTGTTTTGTGGTTTTCACACGGTTCCATGTGTGATCAGTTGAGGCTAGCTACGGCCATGGATTGGTAAATTGTTAATTAGATTTTGGGATCAGATCTTGCATAGTTGCATATACATATGCAGGGTTTGTTAATTTCTCTTCTACACAAGAGATATTCAGATAGATGGAAGAGAGATCTGCAGGGATATGAAATTACCACTTAATTGCAGCAACAGCTACGGTGAGAGATTATCAGATGAATAACTGGACATGTTGTATGAACAACTTGTAATCTTGGACGTGGTCTGATCGATATGTGTGCAGATCATAGAGACTGTTTCATCCATGCATGTTACCAGGAGCAACTCCTAACTTGCATGTACTATTCGTTTTGTACATACTACTACAAATCATCAACTTAAATTTTGTATGCTACGAGAGATTATGAGATCAAGATTGCTCTTGTTTTCCTTAAGTTCTTGCTCTTCTCACTTTTCATTTCTTGATCAACTTAAGTACGATTATTATGCAACAAACTAAGGATGGAGATGGCACAGTACACTTGGCCTTCAAGTCCGGGCGATGCCAACTAACTTTATCATAGAACTATCGTACAACTTGGTCACTTTTTCTAAGGCTTATGTTGGAAGACTAGTCTCCACTCTACAGTCATGTTCTCTCCCGGACTTCACATCCAATTTGCCAGTGTTTTATGTCCTTACTTTCCCATGACTCATCATCGCACCAAGATATTTCTGCAATCAAGGTACTATTGGTACGAGATACCAAAGTTGCGTATATACGCATCATGTTGCCTTCATTTTGCAGCAAACTGATTAAGCAGAGAGCAATCTTGCATGTTCCAACCAGCCATTTCATGATCACGACTTGCATGTTCCAAAAAAAACTAAAACAGAGAGGACACTTTACGTCCCATCGCCTAGAGCAATCAATAACATGGGCAGAGGTAGAGTTGATGTCTTATCTAGCTAATTGCACTTTTTTTCTTCCCTTTGACATCATGTTTTATCCATCAGTTAGACTATTTAGCACGTCATTTTGGTTTTTTCCAAAGAAATCCTAGGAGAGTAATTTTCCAGTGTTTTGGCAGTCAACACAATAAATCATTGTGCCGGAAGAGATAATGGAACAAAACTAACACACGTTCATGATCCTATTACTTGCCCAGTTGCACTTTTGGGTTTTGACTAGAGAATTCCATGCACAAATTAGCAGCAAAATAATAGGTAAGTGGCACACCCATTTTGTACTCTCTTTTTTTTCTGGGGGCAACTGATTAATCTTATGCATAATCCAAAATAGTCTAATTCAAGACATCCTAGTAGCCAATGAGTGAAGACAATGAACTCTCAACAAACACACACAAAAGAAAGGAGAAGAAACCATATATTTACTGGAAGTCCCAGAAGCAGATACAACTAAACAAGGTTACGGAATGCGTCATGGTCTCATGGATGCTTCAGAGCTAGATCACAAATCGATGGGCCATTGACAATTTATATTTAGTGACATATGCGAATTCTGCATAGTGCCACGGCACTGGAGATTATTCCAAAAGATGTAGTGTGACTGCAAGAAAAGAGCAAAGTCAAGGGCCCATCCTGACATGAGCTCACCACCATGAGAAGGACAAGAGAGCCTATCAAGGTTGTATCAAGTGCTTGAAAAGGAGAGGACTGAAAGTGCACATCAATAGGGAGAGAGAGAGAGAGAGAAAGAGAGAGATTAAAGAGCAAGAGATTCCTCTACTGATAGCTATGTCCTCTTTATTCAAACCTTTTCTTATGAAGTGGTTATCTCTGGTTGGCCTTGTTATCACCTCAAGAGAGGGACATTTGAGGGTTCTTCATTGGTGGTAGTCCCATTCTAGGATTCTGTAGCACTGTGCAGAAGAACTAGAAGTTTCAGAAAGTATCACGCGTTCTCTGTAATCAGATTTAACTAGGTTACTTACTGCCTGTAGTTTCTCTAACTTACATATATCTCTCAGTCTTTAATCATGTGTGTGTTGACAACAGAACTCCAGTTCTTAGTGTATGCTAAAAGAGAGGTATGAAGAAAGCATGAGAGAATCGTGTTAGCTAGAAGATTTTTCAAACTATATGGTAATGTGGTAGTGGTACACATGTTGATATATAACAGATGAACAATGAAACAATAACAGCAGAGCAGGACACAATCATGCGCTTTTAGGATTATGAGGCCAAAACCAAAAGGGAAAAGATAAAAAGGTAACACAAGATTGCTCTATTCAGTACCAACCCATCCAATTCTGGCCCAGTCAAGCTCCTTTCTAATCCAAGAGAAAACGATGTAGATAAGAACTGATATGTTTATCCAGAGCAGAAAATTTCAGCACTGTTCAGCTGTTTTAATTTGTTCAAAATGGTGTATAATCATGAAATTATCCAAGGAACATAAGGCAAATTGGATTTCTGTGGCTAGGATTGCCACAACATGGTCAATTTTTCTAGAATTTTCAAATAAGTTCAGAGATCTAAATGAACAAGCAACTAGATGCTTCGGTCCCTGATTCTAGTCCATTTCCTAACCAAAGGCCAAGTTCCAAAGCAGGAATTTCTATAAGGCAGCTGTAGCTCACTAGAAAGACTAAAAGGTCCTTTTAACATGGGCCATGGGAACATAGTATATATTCCTGTAAGGCTGTAACCTACTAGTTGATAAGCCGCTAACCATGCCGGTTTGATCTGCACTCAATGGTCCAAATCATAACAGTGGCAACTTATATCTCTAAAGGCTTTAGCATGTGGGCTGTGGCAATTACAACATACAAGTCCAACTGGCAAGCTCAAGCAAGCACATAGGAAAACACTTCAGCAAGAAAGATGACAAAAGGTACACAGAGCATGAATCAGAACAAAATTCCCAAGCTCCACTAGCTACACAAGAAACTGAGTAAGATCAAATTATTGTCCTGAAGACAAGATCTGTATTTAAAAGGGTACAGCCCATAGAACAGAAAAAAGATTGCAGGTACTTACAAGATATCTCTCGACCTATGGATGGCTTGTTCATACTAAAATTATTCTTGCTTGTGTAGGCAGCCATGGACAGATGGATTCTAGGTTGTTTAGCAGAGTTTAAGGTTGAGGTGGAATTACTTCGATGCCTCTAGGAGTTTACTTGATTGGGAAAGATCACGCCTAAGGATGAAACTACTGGTGAGCAATAAATGCAGTGGTTGGATGGATTGAGAAAGTAGTACTCTAAAATCCCTTAGATTTGTGGACAAATAGAGAAGCCTAAAATCCCTTAAATCATAACTTGTTTTCAGGCATTTGAAGAACAGCCATGGTAAAACAGAAACCTACTAAACAGGATAACAGAAGTTCACTTGGTTAAATCTTTAACAGAGTTCCTCCCTAAAAATCTCCTCTGATATCTCACCTAGTCATTTATGATGAACATACATTCTTGTTCTGGATATTGTGAAACAGGATTCGTAAACATAAAAAAGTGACCAAATTAGTCTTTCTGTAAACTCTAGCAGTCTTTACTCTTTATTAATCTGCATCACTTATGGAAGCAAAATATTATGTTGAATAAGCTGGAGTAACCCTAACCTAACATGATGAACATCAAATATCCTTAGTGATTTTTAGAAGTCATACAAATTACCACCCTAATAATCATAACCACAAGCAAACCTTAGATCTAATTACCAAGCAATTGTTCTTACAAGTCTGAGTTTTTTCAGTTTTTGAGGTCCTATTGGCCGCAAGAACACACATATCAAAACCCAACTTGATTGAACTTCTTCTCCTAGATCCTAATTTGTATGTAGTTATATTCCCATGCTTGTCCATCACAATGCCATTATCCCAAACTTAATTTTCAAGCCCTTAGGTCCCAGTTCAAAATGTTACCATGTAAAGTTGTAGTTTCATCCTAAACATATTGCTAAATTAAGAGCAAAAAATTGGTTAGGCTCACTACTCAGTACGCACCCACAAAAGGCAGCAAGCATGAATGAACCAAAACCTAGATCCTACTGCATCTACACCTTGTTATTGCAGTCCATATATGTGTCTTAGTAGAGCTATGTAGGCATTATACAAAAAAACTAAAACTCAAATACCCTATCCCAAAGAGTGATGCACAGATCACCCCTGACATTACTAGCAGATCACTCCGAAAAATCTGAGCACATTTAGGCATATCCATACTCTTGAATCTCGAGGAAAAGAAAAGAAAAGAGTAAATTTCGTAAAACTACACGTTTTGTGGTTCAAGTTACAAAAAAAAACCACACACATTTTAACACTTGGCACTTGAGTACATATATTTTGGTTGTGTAGTTTCACAAAACTACACTATCGATAAATGGATTCACGTGCGAGATGATGTGGCTGTTTCACCTAGGACGAGGACATGGCATTCTATTACCAGCCATCGCGCGAAATTAATGAGATGCCACGTCCTCATTCTAGATGGAACAACCACGTCATCTCACGGGTGAATCTATTCATCGATAGTGTAGTTTTGTGAAACTAAACTACCAAAATATATGTACTTAAGTGCCAAGTGTCAAAATATGCGTGGTTTTCTGCGACTTGAATCATAAAACATGTAGTTTTATGAAATTTACTCAAAAGAAAAAAAGCAGCATACCGAGCTAGGGTTTGGAATGAGCGTCAGAATCGGGGGAAGCCGCGGAGTTGGTGGAGCAGCCACTGCCGCCGCTGCTGCGGAGGTCTTCAATGATTCCACCAAGCTCACGCCGCGCAGACTCCCTCCCAAACATGAATCCATACCTGCAGCGGCGAAAGAGGGGTGGAATGAAATCTAAGACGCTGCTAACCTACGGGACGCAGATTTTGGCGACGACGGGATAGTATACAGATCAATCACGGTACCAGCAGGAGACGGCGGAGAAGACTCCGGCGAACGCCACCGTCTGCAGGAGCGTGATCTTCTTCGCCGGCGGCATCGCTGGCACGAGAGGAGCTGAAGCGGCGAAGCGCGGGAGGGAGCCGGGCGGCGGCGGCGGCGGATGCGTCGGTTTCCCAGGGAGGCGGTCGCCGGCGAGGGGGGTTTGCTTGCTTTTGGGGTTAAGGCCCACGGGGAGACCATGTGTTGGGCCGATCGGTTTGCCATTGCGATTTGGGCCGTCGGCCGGCCCAACCTCTCCACAGGATTGGGATTACCTTTTTTTTCTTTTTTTTTCGGGGAAATTTTTTTATTCAAGTTTTTGAGAAAAGCTTTCTAAAAAACACCCTGAAGTTCAAAAGTGTCCTAGAAACGAATTACTATGCATTATATGTTCCTACTTTCCCTAAAGTTCAAAAGTGTGCGTAGAAACGAATGTTCCCACTTCCCCTCAAGTTCGCATGAATTTCACATGGTTTGCACGAATTTCACACGGTTTACGTAGATTTATAGGTTTTTCATAAGAACTCTACAGAACTGTAAGATTATATCTTGCAGCAAACTGGGAAATCTTGTGCAATCGAAACACTTTGCATGCTCCAAATTATTCGCATTGATCATCATCTCTCTCTACAATACAAATGAATCAATGATCGATCTCTCCACAATTTGTTCCTCACGCACTGGTTGACCGTCGTTGACCGCAGCCTCCTCCGGTGACTGATCTGACGTCACCTCTTCGCCGGCGGCAGGCGGCGGTCGCCGTCCTTGTCGGCCGCCGTCGTCGTCGGTGGCTCCATCTGGAGCACCCTCTCGAGCTCCTCGACGACCTCCCTCATCGCCGGCCGCTCCTTGGGGTTCTTGACGAGGCAGCGGTCGGCCAGCCGCGCCACCTGCCGCGCCGCCGCCGCCGGGTACCGGCCGCCCAGCCGCGGGTCCATGATCGACCGGAAGCTCTGGCTCTCCGGCGGGTGGCGGCGCACCCACCCCAGCAGCTTCTGCTCCTCCGCCGGCCGGCTCCGCTCCAGCGACCGCCGCCCCGTCAGGATCTCGTACAGCACCACGCCGAAGCTCCACACGTCGCTCTTGGTCGTCAGGTGCCCCGTCTCGATGTAGTCCGGCGCCGCGTACCCGTGCGTCCCCACCACCTGATCGCCGCCGGCGAGATCGCCATCATCATCATCATCACTCGGGCTCATGGATCGGATGGGATGAATTGATTGTTCGCAATGGATTTTACACTTACCGCGGTGGAGACGTGTGTCTTTCCTTCAGTTGGCCCCTCTCTTGCTAGCCCAAAGTCTGAAAGTTTTGGCTTGAAATCGGCATCAAGAAGAACATTGGCTGCCTTGAAATCCCTGTATATCACCTGCCAGACTAAGAAACTACGGATCAGAATTCAGATATTTGGCACAGATTTCAGATTGATCATATCGTTCTTGAACCTAACAGAATTCAGATAGGACAATGCTTACTAGTAGCAATACTACAGATGCTAAACTAATGGTTCAGTTAAGAGTTTCAGAGTTCAGAATTCAGATATTGGGACAGATACCAGATTGATCATATCATTCTTGAACAATAAAGAATTCAGATAGGACAATGCTTACTACTAGCTGCTACAGGTGCTAAACTAATGGTCCAGCTCAGAGTTTCAGAGTTCAAAATTCAGATATTGGGAAGATGCCAGATTGATCATATCATACTTGAACATTAAAGAATTCAGATAGGACAAGGCTTACTACTAGCTACCGCAGGTGCTAAACTAATGGTTCAGTTCAGAGTTTCAGAATTCAGACAATGTATCCTGTGAGGCATCTATATTTTGAGTTTTATGGATTCAGAGAGGAGGACAATGCTTTGGAGGGCACCTGAACTTCTTGCAGGCCTTCATGGAGGTAGTCTAGGCCCCGCGCGGCGCCGATCATGATCTGCAGCCTCAATCTCCACGAGAGGGGAGGATGAGCTCGGTTGAACAGATGATCATCTAGGCTCTTGTTGGGCATGAACTCGTAGACCAGCAGCCTGTGCTTGCTTGTTTCTGAATCCACTGCACAATAGCCAACAAGCCTCACTAGATTCGGGTGCTCAAGAACACCTAGGAATTGGACCTCAGCCAGCCATTGCTTGTGCCCCTGAAATCAGAAAAAAAAAGAAAAACATAACTTTCAATCTGTTGATATTTAAAAAAAAATGCAATCTTTGATTTAACAATTGAAAATTGCATGGATTTTGTCCTATGCACTGGCAATCTGGCATCAAGTTTTGGCGTGATTAAGCTTGGTACGTTGTTTATAACGTGATTCTGAATTCTGGAATTTAGTAGGTTGACTTGGGATGCTGTCCGGACCATTGTTCACGTGGTTTGGTGTGTGATCTGTGGTTGAAGTTGACATGTGTGGGTGTCCTTGTCCTACGGGATGTGTTTATCTATTTGTTGGAATTGTCACGAGGCTAAGAATTTCATATGATTTCGGTGCAAAAGAACAATATCCTGAGTTTGATTTTAGGTCTCGATCCAAATCCAAATCAGGATCGCTTGTTGGTAACTATTGCTGGTTGAAGAACATTTTCAGCAGTAGTAAATCTGTAGTGTTAGCATACCAAAATGTGTGAATCCGAAAAATATATATTTAAGTGCATGCCGTCTTTCTGAATCTTCTGTGAAGATTGTACGCTACGAGTCTTGAATGTAGTCTAGAGAAAGTAAAAGCGAAGTTCTTTTTTGAAACTCTGAAAAAACATGCAGCCATGTGGTCAGTGCCCAAGCTGAAAAGACAAAATCTTCAAGTTCTTCTTTTGCCATTCAATCGTCCTGATGAACAAATTCGGTACGTTTTGACAAATCTAGCCAAAATCAAATGCACCATGGCGAATTTTCGAGAGGAGCAAATGCAAATCAGAGGGAGGAGAGATGGGAGTACAGCTAACTGATACTGTACTGACCTGCAGGCTGCGCTGGTTGAGGCGCTTGACGGCGAGGACGACCCGGCCGCCGCCGCCGCCGGCGGCGGAGCGGAAGAAGGCGCGGTAGACGGAGCCGAAGCCGCCCTCGCCGATCTTGAGCGCGCGGCTGAAGCCGTTGGTGGCGCTGCTGAGCTCGTCGAGGTCGAACACCCGCAGCCGCTGCGCGCCCCTCTCGTCCGACAGCTCCTGGATGCTCCTCGTCGGCGTCGACGCCGATGATGCCTTGCTCTTCTGCCCGTCCGACGTCGGCGCCGGCGACCTGGCCCCCGACGCCGCCGCCCGCTGGTTCTTGGCCTTGCTCTTGAACGCGAAGCACCCCATATCTGATGGGCTAGCAAATTAAACCTGAGAGGAGGCCTCCTTGCTGATTAAAAACACCAAGAACCAAATCTTTGGAGAGTAGCATCCGAAAAAAAAGACCAAGAACTCTACTAATTGGAGACACTTTTAATCCCAGTGAGCAGTGACAAGATGCTAAAGCTGTTCATGGAGTAGAAACGAGATGGTATGATTCAGAGAGGCAAATTAAGAAGGTAGAAGGAAGAAGAGAAGAAATTCAGAGAGCAGAGCAAGGAAACAAATAGAATAGAGAGAGAGAGAGAGAGAGAGAGAGCTCAAATTAGCTTTGATAAAGACAGCTAAAATTGCATGGAAAAATTAACACGAGGAGGAACTAGGAAGACGACGACGTCATATGGATCATGTGGTTGGAATCCATGAACAAGTGGGGGGCGAGAAGAAGAAGAAGAAGAAGAAGAAGACGACTCGCGTGGAATCAATCGAGAGAGAAAAGAGGACACGTACCGTCGCCTCGCCTCGCCTCGCTTCCGCGTCGTTCGTTCGCGGCGATCCCAACGCACACGCCGCGTCTCCCACTTGTACCATCACACTAACTGTACACCAGTCAACAAGATCAATGAAGAGAGAGTGTACTGTTCTTAATTGTTTTTTTCTTAGGATAAAATCATAAAATAATAAGGAAATTTATTGTTACAATCAACATAGCATGGAGGAATGAATATACTTACCTCACCTGATTCATTGCTCCATATCTGCATATCAGCATCTTTCTTTCTTCAACGTGTTCACGTCAAAATTGAAAGTTTGATTGAAATTGAAACGATGTGACGGAAAAGTTGTAAGTTTGTGTGTAGAAAAGTTTTGATGTGATAAAAAAGTTGAAAGTTTAAAGAAAAATTTTGGAACTAAACTCGGCAGTAGTAGTAATAACTGTTTGGGTCAAAATTCAAAGTGTTTGTTGGTGGTTGAAATGGTCAAACCAAAAGCTTTTTCTTCTACCTGAGAAACAAAGGGGCCATCAATCTAAATGCTGAGTGTGCAAAATATGCTCATGCCTCTTTACAGGAAAGGGAAGGTGCATGTTGATCTTTTACCTGCAAAACTGATTTTTGACCAGGCTTGGGACAAAATGGAAAATTGGATTTGATTCAACAAGCGGCAACCAAGGACGCGAGGTGTGAAACGGTAGGAGATGTAGCTGATGATCCTTCCAGCAGAATTGAATTTTTTTTGTCTGACCTTTTTGCCACTCTCGCCATCGTCGTCATCTTCTCCTGTCGATCGGGGACGAAAACAACTTGGCAGCTTGACTTGTTTATGTGGACAGTCTTGTGCTTGTTTCGTTCATTCACATCATCACAGTCCTTGGCGCGCTCAAGAATTCGAGGCCACACGTCGCACTAATTCTGCACCTTCTTTTTCATTTTTTTTCTGAAATCAATTATGCAATTCGATTTGGCTAACAATAGGTAAAGGAAGCTCAAAACAAAACCCTTATAGCTGAAGCTGAAGGATAACAAATGAAACATGGTATTTGTATCTGACTAAGTAAATTGTGACCATTTTGGGGCCTAATATTGTTCAAAAGATGTCTGAATCATAGTTGTACTACCTTAGGGGTCCTTTGGAACACTGGAAAGTAGAATGATTTCACGTGAAAAATCCTATAAAACTCCTGTGTAATCGCAGGGCACATCTTCATCTTTCAGTGTTCAGAGTTCAGTTGCAGTAGCCGGCACTTGCCGCATCATCATCATCTTAATATCATCGAAAGTAATAGCACTCACTAGTCTACCTTGTAGTATGGTCATGGTGCAACCAAAAGTCCCACATGATCTGAAAATCAGTTGGAACCTCAACCTGATCCAATCGTCTGAACCTCAAGTGCTTGCAGTTACAGAAGCAGACAAGTAAACCCTCCTGAAAAACAGATTTTTTTCAGACAAGTCACCATCAAGCCATGACCTGCTGAACTTACTTTACAGCCACATCTCCACCGAACCAGATTAAAAATCAGTGCTCTAGATTTCTTCCCCTACAACAACTTGGTGATCCAATATTTTTTTTCCTTAATGTGCATTAGAACCTTCTTCTGATGGGATTAGTGTAGTGAGTAAGATGCTAATTGAAGCTGAAGAAAGTAGTCAAAGGAGAAGATGGCATATGGTCTTCGTTCCAGACGACGGTGGAGTGGACGATGCAAACAAGATTTGCCGACTTGTTGAGACTTGTGTCATGAGCAGTAGAACTAGTGTACTGTACTGTCTTTGGCCATTTAATTACAGGATGTGATTATTAATTCTAAGACGGCGAATAATAAGCCACTAATTAACCAAAGAAGAATATTCGCCGTGGAGATTGCAACGAGGACCATCCCCCTGAGCTGTCGTCGGTCGCCATTTGTGCTACTCATTTCATGTAGAACCCGGCGGCAAAGCGTGGTGAGTTTGGTGACAACTCTGACAATTCTCTCGTCATCTTCAGAGCTCGATCCATCGCCAATTTCTTCTTGTATTATCCTTTCCTAATTCTCTCTTCAGATACAATGATTCAACGATAGAACCTTGAAACTCAACCGTCACCGATGGATACGCTTGCCGGAGAAGACGTTGCAGCGACGGGTGAAATGTTGACACGCCATTTCCGGCCGCCGCCTTGGTCGTCCCCCCGGACTCTGGCAGCTTCCGCGATGGCTCTGCCGGCCACCACCACGCCTGCGGCTTGAGCTGGGATGCATGGGAACTAACCCGCCAATCTACTTACAGACATATTTAGTGGGTAACCCGGGGTTTAAAAAAAAATAATGGGTAACCCACGAATTGACGGGTGAGTTAACTACTAACTAGTAATATGCCCATGTTGAACATTACGTGCAATTTCATTATCTCTAATAACTTTTTAAATTTAATGTTAGAAAAAAATATTTTTATATGATATGTGCATCGAATCGTTTCACCTTTCTTTTTTCCCCTCCATATCGGCTCACCTTTCAATTTTTTTCTTCATAATATTTTCCTCCTATCTGTTCAGCTTCCATTTTTCCCTAATATATTTAGGTTATGTTCTCCAAAAGAAACCCGTACCCTCCACACGAAGAACAAAACTATGAATTAATACGTGATTAATTAATTATTAGCTAATTTTTTTTAAAAAAAATAGATTGATATAAGTGAGTTCAGGTCAACTCGGTATGGCAAACCAGACTTTGAAACGAAAGTCCACCGGTTACTATTTATTTGACCTATGTGGGTTGACCCACTTTGGTCTCTACCCCTGAGGCGCTTGCCGGGGAAGGACAAGTCTACATCTCCGGATGGCAATTAGGCCTTCTCCTGCTAATGGGCCGGACACGCATCGCTACAAAATTCGGCCCAATTTGAATTCAACGGGCCCGGTGCTCCCGGGCTGGGCCGGCCTCTTCACACGCATGGATCCACGTGACGTCACGCCACGTCATCCACCATTCCTCCATTCTTCCCAACCATCTCCACCTTCCCCGCATCCGCAGTCGCCGCCGATCTCCCTCTCCGCTGTCGGAGACGACGCGGCCACCAAACCCTAGCCGCAGCAGCAGCAGCAGCCGCCCATGGCGAGCTCACGCGCGGATCCCCGCCCGCTGGCATGACCGCAGCGGCCGCCGATGGAGCCGGGGCCTTCGTCGCCGTCGCCGTCGTCCGCGTGCGCGGATCACCCCACGCCGGCGCCGGAGGAGGACGAGGAGGGGGGGAGGGGGTGGGTGGTCGTGCCGGCGAGCGAGGTCCCGGGAGCCGACGCGCCCAAGGTCATCGACTGGGAGGACCTGCAGCAGGAGCTCGCACGCGTCTGGAGCCTCTCCGCCGCGCTCGCCACCGCCAGGGAACGCAAGGCGCTGCTCGCCGCGCGCCTCCAGTCCGCGCTCGAGGTATTTGCTCGATTAATTTGGGTTTATAACTCCTGATGGAATGGGCGGATCACTGGGCGCGTTCTATAGCTTCCGAATTCACATTCTATGCGGATAGTAGGAACCCTAGGTGTCTTCTAACTTTGATCTGGAACCGGAACGATCGATGATTTACCTTAATGTTCTCGAGTAGTAGTCTCTGGGGGATAATTTGTTAGCTGTGCTGCTGCGTGGTGCTCTTTTCTTAATGTTGGTGTCGTGTTACGATTATTGTTAATCAGGAGTTCAGGGTTAAATTCTGGATGCTACATGTCTCATGAGATGCTATGGATGCATGGATTGTATTGCGGTTACTAGTCCTTGCATGGATGTATGACCTGCTATGTGTTTTTGAGCAGGCAAGGAAGGCTTCCGTTCAGCAGGATAATGAGTTGGCGGAAATCAGGGAAAGAGTGCAAGCACGTGCTGATTTCATGTGGGATTTGAAAATGCACACTAAGAAAATGACCGAGGATGTGGATGATCGAAGAGAGGAACTCCGCATCAAGATCCGAACCTTGTCAACAACAAGCAATACTCTTAGCACAGCGCGAAATAAACTTAAGGTACAATTACTTTCCACATAGGAGATGGATCAGTGGCTAGATTGGTGACATGCATTTTGAATATCAACTGTTAAGGTTGGTTTCCTGTTAGGCATCCTAGTTCATCCTCTATATAGGTATAACTCTTGTATTCATTATGATTAAGCTAGAAGAACAATGAATTAATCCTTCTCCTCAAATGCTGTATCATCTCCTTTTTCTCTTAATTCCTCCTCTTCATCCATATTGTCCCAGTGCCCTTTAGTAGTAATGACTGTTCCTTATGATATAAGAATTATCACATCTAAATGTGTGGTTTATAGAACAAGAAAGATACGATGTGCTTTTAAACTGTATATGATGTGCCTTTTTCTATTTAACTAATTTTTCTTGAACCTATTTTTGTAGGAAGCTGATAAATTGCTGTCAGGGGAAAATGGTCTCCATGTCCGTCTTAAAACTGTGGAAAGGATGTTGCGCACAAGACAGCAATATATGACAGCACAAGTAGCACATTTATATCCTGTGAGACCCTTGATTGAGCGATCTCCAGCTAACAAGCCTAGCTTCTTGAACTCCAGTATTCTCAAAACCAGTATGTTACCTTTTCCTGTTACAACTTCCAAGCTCTGTCAAGTTGGTATACCTGCTTTATATCCAATGCTGCCTATGCTTGATAACATCAGAATCTTGCTATCCAGAACATTCACTTGTAGTTGATGTAAATCAGATTTATTTGGACATGCTCTGTATGATGACAATGTTCTTCATCACCTGATGCTGCAACATTAGATTCATATTTCTTCTATCGTTGAATAGCATTGAAGCACTTTGAGAATATTTGTCTGATTACTAATTTTGTCCAAACAATATTGCACACACAGGCCCGTCGTCACACATTTTTAAATTATTTTTTTTAAAACAATTGAGATGCCCCTTTTCATTTTCAGTAGTAAGAACCAGAATTAAGGTCTGCCATGAACTATTGTAATGCATGCCATTATATGTTAGAAATAAGTATCATTGGTGGTTAGTCATGAAGTAGTCCTTAGATTTTCGTTGCTAGGCTACTGGCTGTATCTCTGATGTGAAGATAACTATAGAAAACCAATTTTACCTTTGTTGAGATATCACCTGTTGATAACATCAAACATGAAGTCATTTGCACTTTTTAGCTTCCAGTTTCTGGCAACTATACTAGTCTACAACTCTACAATGGATGAGCCTTAGCCAAACAAGCTGAAGACTTGGAGTGATCACTTACTTTTTTCTCCCATAGCAAAATGTTTAGATTCTTCGGTATGAGATGGTAATCTTGAAACTATTGTCAAAAATTTGAATGCATCAGAATTTTGCAGGAGATGCGGAATCAATGGCTCCGAATGGTTCTCAAAATGGACAGGCACCTTTGGCAATTTTGGGTCTCCAACTATCGAAGCTTACGATGAAAAAGACTGGCTACTTTAGTGACAAGACTGAGATTCAGAATTCTGCCACCGCATTGGGTTATGTTGCACATGTATGTATAATTGAAACTGAAATATATGTCCATTGGAGATTGATTTAGGCATTCAAATTTGATTCCAGTTTCTTTCTATAAGTTCTCTGAATTTTGTAGGTTATATTCTGTTATAGATTGATAGGATGAAGAGACATTTAGACCAATTTGACATATATATAACCCAATATTGCTGGTCATACACATTTTAGAATTTTACAGTGATAGACGTGGCACTACGCTATGCAATTCTTTTTACTTACTGCTGTTTTTTTATTCATTCATTTTTGGATCATAGGCAGTGTCCCTTATTGCATCATATCTTGATGTTCCTCTTCGATATCCGCTGCGGTTGGGAGGTTCACGGTCATATGTTCTTGATCGCGCGCCTTCAGTTGAGTCATCGTCCTTAGCTTCTGCTATAAGTTCTGCTCCTCTGAGTACAACCATGCGAACAATGGAATTCCCTCTGTTTTTTGAAAGCCAGGAGACAACAAGATCAGCATATGCAATATTTTTGCTAAACAAGGTTGGTCTTCTTGCTAAGTTGCGCGTTTATTTAATGAAAAAGTGTTTGATTAACATGAATAGCTATAACCATGATGGAGTAAAATGGCAAAAGGAAAGATATGCCTTTCCCTTGATGCCCTCTTATTGAAGATCTGTAAATTGTTTTCCCAAATCACCATATCACATTATCACTAGAAAAATTGGAGGCTAACTACAATCAAGCGAAGATTATTTGTGAAAAGTCGCATGTAAGTCTATTTTCTAAGAGAATATTTTCTAAGGCCCTTGAGTTAGCTTCACGTTGGTGATTTAGAATCCTATTCCTAAGAAACCATTAGTTGTGTTTGCTATGTTGATCTAATTAGGATAAATGATCAGCTCAAATGAATTTGACAGCATAAGAAAGTAATAAAAGTGTCAGCTTGTGAAAATTTTGGCTTGTTGTATGACAACATGCATAGTTCTGAAGAACAAAAATATCAGTGCACCCTTTTAATAACAAATCATTATGCGATAATGCAGTTAGCAGTTTAAAATTGGAATTTTCATGTGAGTAATTCTGAGTCAGCTATGTAATTCCTATACGTAATTGGTTATCAAAATTCTTGCAACTTCGATAAAGTTGTGCATGGTTATTTTTCATTTGGTCATCCCTCCCCTTCTGTTTCCTTGCAGGATATTGAACAACTTCTGAATCACATTGGTGCTGAAAGTCTTGGCCCGAGGCATGTATTAGCTAACCTCAAGCAGCTGACTACTATTGTCCAGTCACAGCAGTACATTTCTAATTAATTTAGTCCCAGAAACATATTTGAAGTTCTGTGAGAGTTTTGCTTACGGCTAAATCCAGAAGCGGTTGGTGCTATTTTTAGCAAGCACCTTTGTTTTCCAGAACACAGATGAGTTAAGGTTTTTCTTTGCTGATATGTTCACTGTAAAATGGATAAATGGATTTGTCACTGTAAAATGTGCTCACTTGGTGTACAGGAAATAGATGAGTAATAAATGAGAAATAGTTTGCATGTTCAACTTACTCTTCTTGTTACACTTGTTAGTAATTCTTTGTTTTTTCTTGATGTACTACTTATTAGTGCTGATTTATTGGAAGGAGGTACGATTTAATTTTACTGCTGTTGTGAGCTTTCTTGTGCCTAGTCACTTTCTTTTCAGTTCTTTACAATGGTTTGGAATGTTTTCTATTTTCCTACAATATTGTGCTGAAACAATTCGGGAAATATAGGAGATAAGGCCTTGTATGGCATAGCTCCAGATCAAATCAACTGTAGATTTGATATTTCTATGTTAAATTATAGCGGTTTAAAATTTTAAATTTTATCTAAAATAGAGTGAAATGATTTATCCAAATGCTAATCGCAAACTAGATCTATGAATTTGTATTTGTGAAGCTAGTAATACTCAGCTCTAAGAAATCTTGGATTGGAAGCTGTGTTAAAGAGAATCTAGGTTATGTAAATTTGAAACAAAGGTTGCCTATGCGTAGTTTTCATAGTAAGGAGAGGCAAGTAGAAATCCTAAAACAGAAATGAACGTCCTAACTAAGCTACACTTTGCTAACAAATCTGTTGTGTAAAGTACCCGATCTGGTAATCCGATGAGAAGGGTATGGAAACGACGATATAATCGAAACCCATCGTAACAAAAACATAATACATATCACACCGATATCCTGTAATCTATTTGCAAAAAACGCTGTATTATTGGATGATCCATACGCTGCTGTCACTCTTAAAAAAGATTGATATGCTCGTGTACATATGTGAATGTTCACAGAATACAGTTCTTACAAGCAAACCTGCTTGTCAGAGTCATAACATACTCGTACAATTTTACAGTACCTCGCACACGGATCCCATGGGTATAGTATTACAACACTGTGCATCATGTTCAAGTAGTAGTTGCGACCTTCGAGTTAAACAGCACAAGCTGCTCTTGGTTGATTTGTTCACATGTATGAAGTTCAGATGTCTTCTACAATACTCAATAGCCTTCTGCTAACTGGTGGAGCGAGACCAGGAATGTCTCGGATAGTCTTGTTCTGTGGGTTTACAATCTGCAGTGAAACACTATGATCATGAACCATTCACCATAAAAACTGAATATTCCGACCAGAAGAAACCCAGAAGAGGGCCAAAAATTATTTTTCCTTTCTGGGTTTTTTTTTAGCTTCTCACTAGGGGAGGGCTAACAGCTGTTCACCAAAGCAAAAATAATATTGATGCAAGGGTAGTTCTCTCATCCCCTCATCTCGCCTTATGACCTCTTTGTTTACTACTAACTGTACAAAAAAGTTCAATCCACAAAGGACGGAGATAGACACCATGATAAGGGAAGTTCACCAAGGATAAATTGATCGAGAAATGGTTGACTGATCTCATCTAAAAACCTTACACCGTTATATTGAGAATAAATGGAAATGTCTGTTCCATAGCTGACAGTGGGGCCATGAACTGCTTAATTGGCACACTTCTATCGCCATTTTGTTTTTGTTTTTTTTTAAAAAAATATATAATAAGCAGTGAAATGGTAAGATTGTGTGAAGGGATTCCAAGAGTGGAAGAATGGAATGCCAAAATTAACTGTCAGGTAAGCAGATATATGGAAAATCTAAGCACTCACCTTAACGACTATTATTGCTATGACTCCAGCAACAATGAGAAAAAGCAAGGCCATGATGCAGCGATCAGTTGCAACCTACATTTAAGAACAGTATGAATAAACAATAATGGGGTTGACAGATTATCGGTGCCTTTTTAATAGATATCGTTGAGAGGGTACTTACCTGCCTACCAATTTCTTTCACCATTTGTGATGCCTTTTTAATGGAGAAATGAATGGAATCCAGCTCATTAACAATTCTGCTCATTTGCTCTGTCTGGTCAATAAGAAATAACCGAAGTTAGCTCTGGTATATCCAGGTTACACAGCATGATTGGCTGGTTTGAGAAGAACAAAGAAATCCTGCCTGTGATTTGAGAGCAGCTGCAGTTTCTGTACCTACATTGATGGTCTCTTGGACGGTCTGCAGAAGTCAGCAACAAATCAGTGCCAGAAAGCAATGATGTGACTTAGTTTGTGGGAAAGAGCACATCAATTTGCTGTAAGACTTAAAATTACACCCTAATAAAGAGTTTTTGTATAAGCTAAAGGAACTGAAATAACAAAAAAAGATCAATACGTGCTAAGTTGGAAAATGATGCAACAAGCTCAGTTAGAAGCCATATATATAAACTGAAAGAAGCTACATTTTGTACCTATAGGAGGGACAAAACACAGAAAAATTACATGATACTAAATGCAAGAAAATGCCTAGTTGATCCAATAAGAAATAAAAAAATTATGCACTTCTCTTTCGAAGATATATCAAGTTGCTTAGATCTTGTCTAGATCTTGCACAACATAGTAAAGATAACCTGTTTAGATCTTGCAATAGCTTGATCAGTCTCATCCATTAGTTGGTTTCCTTGATCCATTAACTGTTGGTTTGTCATATCTACAAAAGAAATAATTGACCATTAAATCTAAAGAGGTGCATATATTCATGCTAGTGATGGCATATCCGCCAGAATATTCTTATCATTTCACCTGAGAAAAAATAGACCACCTCCATATGCACTTAAAAGGGCCCTAGAGTTGCTACTTACTTGATGCTAACAGGACATTTTCTTCACCAAAGCCATCTTCAACACTTGGGCCATCAAAAAGATCAACTCGCTTATTTTCACTTGCATATCTGAAGTCCAAACGATCTTTTGCATGTAAGTATCATGTAATGTTAGCCAAAGCAGTATCTGTCAAGTTTATAATAAAGACTAATTTGGTGAAGTGATTATTAGTTCAAGGGCAACCCCTTATAGGTTCATGTCCATTAATATGAGCCTTTCACATCACGGGATAGGTATAAACTCACTGTTTCTTCAAAGCAACATAGGAGTTCAATTCTTTGATCTGCAAAACACGAAGAGTCAGGTTAAGAGGGAGTTGAGGACTCAGGAAAGCTGAATGTATAAAATTATATCATAGTATAAGGTTCTGCGGTGGTACCATTGACTGTTTCCTATCATGAAGCATCCTAGCAGTCTCAGGATCGGTACTTCCTGCCATATCTTTGACAACTCGCTCAAAGTCCTTGATAAGCCTAAAAATGTATACAGAGAAAATTAAGCAACCAAATGTCTGTATGATTGTATGCCGCCACTGCTAGATCCATCCTTTCCCAAAAGAACAAAAATCAATTGCATTTGGAGATACTGATCAGCATCAGAACTTGTATAATACTGAATTCAGTAATGCAATGGCTATGGCCAAATCTCAACTCTTTCCAAGTGACACATTTGTAATCATAGTTTTCAACTGCCCACATTCTGTACAAAAGATGCTGTTCTACACTAAGCAGCGTAATATGTGTGAAAAGAATGGATAACCTCTTGCAATCCCGCATCTTATCAGTGAGCTCTTCGAGTTGCCTGCTCCGTCGATTGGCATCCTTGATCTTATCCAGCTTCTGGAACCCATTTCTGTGGACAAATGAAGCAGATTAATTATCAATCTATCATCTAAGTCAAACCCGTCTTTTTGCCGCATTACACTACAAAGATTTTATTTTTATTTTTTGCAGGTTAACAGTCTGATTTCCAGGCTCGCATTTCATAAGCAAACATTACAGCAAGCAAGCAAGCAAGAGATCCAATGAATATTACCTCTACTAAAAACACACATAAACCACAAGCGAAGCGATCGAAATTTGAAATGGAAAAAATGGAGAAACGGATTTCAGAACACGGCGGAAAAGATTCGGAGCTTACTGCAATGCGCGGAGGATGTCGCCGATCTGGCCGTCGATCTCGGCGAGCTCCGGGTTGACCGACTCCAAATCCATCTCCCCTCCCCTACACCGGCCGGAACCCGAGCCCCACAGGGATCACAACAACCAAAAGCAACAAAAAAAATCCAAGCAGAAAAAGGAATCGTTCACGACGGCGACCACCACCACCACCACCAGAGAGTACCAGACCAAACCCCACGGCGGCCGGATCGACGGGGACCGACCAATGCTGTGGGATCGCCGGGATCGAGGGGTCGCGGTGGTGGTCCGGCGGTGGTCTCCGACACAGCGCTCTTGTTTTTCTTTTTTTTTTCCCCTTTTTGTTCGCTTTCGCTTTACTACTACCACTAGTATCTAGCTCGTTGATGCTGGAATTATTTCTTGACCATTTTTTGTTGCTGATGCATCGTATCCTCTCTCTCTCTCTCTCTCTCGGCCGTACGATCTGCATCCGACGGTTGAGGTGAGATGGTCAGCATCAATCAAATCGCCCTGAAAGATTTTCTGAATTTCCGTTTTACCGTTTTTGTTTTCACGGGATATATCAGGCGGTATGTTGGTGAAGCAAGTAAACAACAGAGCTGGTGAATATTTACACAATTCTGAAAAATAGAATGTAAAACAGTTATTAAAAAGATATATTTACACATGGTCCAAGATAAAATGTTTGCACTCTTTTATAAGTGTCCTTTATGAGGGTAATGGATCTGGTCTTGGTTGACTTGACATTTTGTGTTCTTCTTTTTTGGAGATGATGAACGTGCACGGTCGGTAGAAGGTGCCAATCCAACCTAGCATGAGCTAACATCACATCAAGCAACCCCGGAAATTCTGCTGTTTTAGCTGACCATCGTGTCTAAACTAACTAATCACTTAGTACTAATCAGGTACTAGAACTCTAGAAACATAATTCCCCTAGTTCAAACTACTCCAAATAAAAAAGAGGATATAACTTACTACTATGGAGTATATGTTAAAGGTGAGGAAACCAGCATAACATTGAGATGAATAAACAATATTTCGCTTTTTCTTCTTGCTACCAAACCATGTCTTTACAATTGTGGCATCCACATGCAATGCTTTCATATTATCTTTTAGATAATGATAACGTCTTGAAAATATATCATTAACTATATTTTTTATAATATATATAATAAATATATTTATAGTTTTATTATAGTATTATATTTTAAGACAAAACAATATATGTTATTATAGCGCTTCTAACTAAATATTAGTTATTGCCAGTTAAAGCTAGAATTAAGTTTTACCTCAACCTTATATAAAACATCAAGAATTATAAAACCGGAGGAAAAATTTTGAGAAACTTTCTCAAGCGGAACTGAGAACATGTCATATGACAATTAACACGCGCGAAGAACCTAACCTAAGGATGAAAATCGATCTTTTGATCCTTCCTGCACACTCTCCGCTTTAAACGCACACGCGCACATCTATCCGTATGAGTACATTTGAAAGACTAGCCCAGTATATATTGGAATTAACGAAGTCACCACAAGCATATTATTGCCTATATTAGTTTACAGTGATAAGTACGCGCTCATGTCTGCATTATACGGGTGTCTAGTTTGTAACTTTTGAATAATGGAAATGGAATATATTTTCAAGTTGTGTCGTGAGATATAATATAACCATAAGTTTGTAAAATAAGAAAAAAGAAAGATAAAAATAAATGAAAATAGGACAAATCCCCTTTATTACTTTCTAGTTTGTAGTATTTGGAATTGAAAAAAAAAGTATTTTATTCATCAGATAAAATAGGTTACGATTTTCCATACCAGTGGATTAATCCGAACCGTTGAATTGACCATCGGACGGTCCACAGCTCGTGCAGTTGATCATCCCGTCCTGAAAATCCCGCGCCACCCAAACCCCATCGTCTTCCTTCCAGAGCCTCACCTCGCCATCGTCGCCATGGAGCACCTCCTGCTCCCTCTCCTCCCCCACCGCCCCTCCCAACCCCTCCTCCTCCTCCTCCGCCATCGCCGCCGCCCATCCATCCCCCGGGCATCATCCGGCGACCCCTCCCCCACCGCGGCCGATGCTCCGACGGACGCTCAGTCCGCCACGCCTCCCTCCTCCGGCGCCAAGCCCACCGGCGTCAAGAACCGCCTCCGCGCGAGGAACCAAGCTCGCCGCGTCCAGGAGTTCACTCCGCCGGCGCCGTTGGGGATCACCATGAAATCCAAGTCGTCGTCGTCGTCGAGGCCGGCTGCGTCGAAGTCGTCGGCGTCGGCTTCGGCTTCGGCGGCGACGCGCAGGGAGAAGCAGACGAGGAGGAAGGAGTGGGAGGAGATGAGCATGGCGGAGAAGGCCGGCGAGCTGTACGTCGGGGAGAAGGGGCTCCTCTTCTGGCTCAACAAGTTCGCCTACGCCTCCATCTTCATCATGGTCGGCGCCTGGATCCTCTTCCGCTTCGTCGGCCCCTCCATTGGCCTCTACCAGCTCGACGCGCCGCCGCTCGCGCCCACCGATGTCTTCGCCGGCTCGCCGTGAGCGCGTCGCCGGGGGCGTGTTCTTGATTACCATCGAGATCGAGTACTCTACTAGATTCTAGGTACCTAGTGTATAGCAGATGATTAAGGAAAATGTGGATCATTTGGTCGAGGAAGCAGAGGATGTAAACTAGTGTTGCTGTGTTGGCGAAGATTGGTCGAGGAATCAGAATGTATAAATTGCACTGCACAATTTTGGAGTTAAAATGTTTGAGATATTTTGCTGCGAATTGTGGGTGTGAGTATTCCTGCTATCTTGCTACAATTATTAACCAGGAAATTGTTGTGTTCCTCCCTGGTTATCTTCACTTTTTGCATGTTCTTAGTTACCTAGTGTAGCGTATGATTAAGGAAATGTGGATCATTTGGTCGAGGATGCAGAGGATGTAAACTACTGTTGCTGTGCTGGCGAAGATTGATCGAGGAATCAGAATGTATAAATTGCAGTGCACAATTCGGAGTTAGAAAGTTCAGATCTTCTGCTGGGAATTGTGTGGGTGCGAGAACTCCTGCATGCTGAATTCCTTGTTAATCTCATCTCACCGTGCAGGTTCCAACCATGCTTCGTTCTTTTTATTTTTCTTCAGTCAATTGAACTTGGGATATATGTAACATCTTAAGTGTAACAGAGAGAACTGAATGTGCTAAAATGATTCAGAGTTCAATGATAGTATAATGAGCACCAATTGAACAAACAAAAGTAGTTTCTAATGATTATTTTTGTTAGTAAGTATAAGTACTAGTACAGTACTAATTACCCTTTTCACATACAGATCACCGACTTCTTCGATCCATGATACAACATCCTCCCTACCATTTCTTCATCAGTTTGAGCCAGCATTTGCATGCCATCTAATGAGTGGTAAACCGTCAGAATCCGAGCAATGCAGATCATGACAAGGATCGCGCGAGGGAGGAGGTGGAGACGAGGGCGGAGAGCAAGCCGGCGACGAGGGCGCTGTTGTAGGTGGTGGCCTCGTTCTGCATCACGTTGTCGCGCTCGTCGACGAAGCTGTCGTTCTTGTACGGACCGCCGACGAGCGCGCCGGTGGCGACGTTTGGGTTGGGCTTGGACGTCTCCAGCCACTTGTGGCCGTCGCAGCCGGTGTCGACGTCCTCCGGGATGGACGCGCCGCGGTGGTGCACCTTCTCCGGGTACCGGTCGCCGTACCCGACTAGGTAACTAATCTTCATCGGGTTGCTGCCTAGCAAGTAATCCGCCTGCCAAGAACAAAGATCACTGATCAGTGCGTGATCACATCCAAGTTACGTACTGTATTTCTGAACATTTCTGTTCTCTCTGAACATATGTTAGTCTGAACAATTGTGAACTCTGGTTCATGGATGATTCTGAATCTTGTTACTACCTGGGACTTGGCGAATTTGCGCAGGTCGGCCGGCGAGAAGCCCTGCCCGCTGCAGCTCAGCTCCGTCTTCCCGGAGCTCTGCATGTAGTCGCTGTAAACCGCGGCGAGGAACGCCGATGCCACCGGGTGCTGGAGTGAGTTCCACTCGGCAACGTACAGCAAACCACCTGAAATAAATCGTTGCAAGCTATCTGAAATACTACTGGATTATTATTATTACCAGCTACACAAATGGTGAACCTGAGATTGCTTTTTTTATTTTTGCTTCTGAATCTTGTGAATATTTACCTTCTGTTCTGAAAGCGGCGGTCTCTGAATCCGGCAGGAGAATGCACATGACGGCATCAGCAGTCTGCTTGTACATCCCAAGAACATCGTCTTGTGCAACGTCTGATCCTTGCGAAGCAAAGAAGCTCACCCTCGACAAAAGAACCTGAAACTCAAACAAAACACCACAAAAATTCACTTCATAACCATCCCAAGATTTCAAAATTTGCCATGAACAGTGGAGTTGAATCAGTGGCGGTGTCACGGTCATTATCACCCACCTCGGTTCCGGCGCGCTTGTCGTCCCAGCTGAAGTATCTCGGGTTGCCCAGGTCGGCGAAGTCCTTGTTCTTGCCGGTGGCGTAGGCGAGGTAGCTGTGGTTGCCGGTGGCGTGGTAGAGCCAGCTCGCCGCCCAGAGGAGCTCGTCCTGGTACGTGGTGGAGTTGTAGAACGCGCTGAGCTCCGGGAACGTCCGGGTGTAGGATCCCCGGTGCTTGTCGGCGAAGGCGAACAGCCTCTCGCCGTGGTCCAGGAGCGACGACGAGTACGTCTTGTTGATCGTCTTGTACACCAGCGACGCCGCCGCCATGGCCGCCGCCGTCTCCGCCGCCACGTCGCTGCCGGGGGACTTGGGCGTGATCTTGGTCAGTGGCCTCTTCTCCTTCATCTTCTCCGGCCGCTCCCAGCACTTGTGGTCTGCTTTAGGATCACCCACCTGGAGATCAGAATGCCAGAAGAAATTAATTGATTTCCCAAGAATTGGATAAAGATTATTCGATCATTTGATGATGATCACCTGGATGTAGAGGACGTCGTCGGAGGGGTGGGCATTGACGAGGTAATCCATGATCCAATTCAGCGCGTCAATGGCGGAGTCGCGCTGGTCGGCGGCGCGCATGGCGTCGCCGTACTCGAGGACGGACCAAGAGAGCATGGTGGCCGTGAACGCCATGGGGAATCCGAACTTCATGTGGTCGCCGGCGTCGTACATCCCCTTGGAGAGATCAATCCCGGCCTCCTTGCCGTCGTCCAGCGCCGAGTCACCTCTCCAGTGGATCGTGTTGTTCACCAGCTTCCCGGCTTCATCGATCAAGAACTTCCATGATCGAGATCAAACGCAAAAAAAAAAAATGCATGCAAAGTTGAGAATAATTCCTTACATTTCTGGACCTGGAAGAACTGGAGGGCGACGGCGAGCGCGTCGGCGTACTTGTGGTCGACGGCGCCGGGCACGCCGGGGAAGGGGAAGACCCCCTCGCCGTTCTTGTAGCGGACGAACACCACGGCGGCGGTGATCGCGAGCGCCATGAGCATCAGCACCAGGAGCCAGCAGCAGCACCGCACGCAGTTCGCCATCGATGGCGCGCCGCCCCGCCCGGATCGCTCGCGATCACGATCTCCTCCTCTCGATCGAACAAGAACGCCACTCGCATCGATCAAGGGGATGATGATTGATTTATCAACTGGAAAGCCGCGTGCAATGCAACGCCGCGCGGCGAATCGGCGGTCAACCGCCTCGATCGATCGCGCTCGAAGGTTGCAACGGCGAGGAAGAAACCGATCGGCTGGTCGGAACGGAATGCGGAGGTGGCGCCGGCGAGGCGAGGCGACGAGAGGCGGCAGTTGGTGGGGAGTTAGAGGCTCGCCATGACCGTCTCGACCATCCGCCACGTAGGAGTTCGTTGTTGCTTATATTGGGGGTGCAAAATTAATTAAAGCACCGGTTGGTTTATCTCACGGTTTAGTTTTAACCACCGACTCTCAAATCTCAATTGTTCAGGAGACGTACATTACCAAACCAAAACACTTTTGAGAAAAAAAAAACAGGTTTAAATTTTCTGTTTGCCAAATTAATGCATGTCATTTTTAGATGTCGGTAGCCATAATGCCCTCATTATTGATAGTCCAGTAACTTGGGTATGTGGGGAAGTGGAATCCAAGGGTATGCTTTACTTCACCTACCCTTTACATTACCACTCGACTACACATTTATTAAATATTTTCTAATCAGTTCAACTGGTAGTACAGTTTTTACCTCTTAAATTGTGAGAAAGTATATATCTCTTCAAGGATACGAGAAAAACTCTTCCTACAAATATTGACGTTCTCTTTTACAGTTGCTATTGTTGTGCTGCCTTACAATGCTTCTCGGGCACAAAAACAATGGTTGATTTTTGTGTTACAAATGTGCTCAATTTTTTGGAAAAAAAGCCCAGAAGAGGCCCAAGGCCCATACGGATGCTTTAGCGCGTCCGCATTTATTAATCTTTCTTTTTGCCATTAGCGTACTCACCTAATCTAATCATCGGATTAGGAAATAAGTAAGCAAACAAAATGATTTCATTTCATTAGTTTGGGTTGGGGGAAGAAAGGGGAAAGGCGAGCGACTAGTTCGCGAGACGCGACGCGAGAGCGCAACCCAACCCAACCCAACCCGCGGCGAAGAAAGCGAGGAGCGCCGCCGCAGCGGGAGTTCGCCGCCGGCGACGCGCTCCTTGCCTCCTATACCGAAGGTACATGGCTCCCCAATATCCCCACCGTCTCGCTCGCAAATCCGTCTGATTACGCGTTTATTATCCGGTCGAATTTGGGGGGACGAATAGATCCATTTCTAGCCGATTTTACATGCAATTTTAAGGGGGGTTTGAATTCCGTAGGGTTTCATGGAGCGTGCCGCTGCTGATCGGAGTGGCGCGGAGGAGGGGGAGAGCGAATGGAGGGAGGAGCTGCGGCAGCAGCAGTCGCAGGTCGACGCACTGCGGGAGAGGCTCGTGGAGGTCAAGGTCGGGATGAAGTGCTCCGAGGAGGACTCGAGGAAGGAGCTGGATCACCTCTGCCGCAGGGTGAAGACCATCGCCACGCTGCTGGCCTACCTCAAATCCAAGGCCAGGATCATGGCGATACCGCACCTCGCGCACACGTCCTGCGGGATTAGGCACCAGGATGGCGTGGGGTACGTCGACAGGAACGGGGTGCCACTGGCTGATTGGTCCAAGGGCGGCGAGTCCGCTTCCTGCGAGGGTTTAGATGATGAAACGTCGGCGGATAGTAGTCGTGTTGCCGAACATGGCGATGCCAATGAGGGGGATGTAGATGTCGAAGACATTCTGAAGTCGATACATGTGGTGACCGATGTCATGGAGACCCTTGTGAAGAGAGTGATTGTTGCTGAATCGGAAGCCGCTAACGAGAAAGAGAAGGTGAGGATGGGTCTGGAAGAGATTAGGAGGAAGACCATACAGGTTGAGTCCATGTCGGCCAAAGTTGAGGAAATGGAGAAATTTGCAGTGGGTACGAATGGTATGCTGAATGAGATGAGGCAGAGGGTTGAAGACATGGTGTTGGAGACCACTCGACAAAGGCAACGTGCGGCTGAAAATGAGCAGGAGCTTAGTCGTGTGAAGCATGACTTCGAGTCTCTCAGAACCTATGTCGGCACTCTCGTTAATGTCAGAGAAACTCTTCTTTCATCAGAGAAGCAGTTTGAAACAATGGAGAAACTCTTCGACAGGTAACTTCACAAGTATCATGATATTTTTAGTAACTATTATTTGTATGAAGTGGGTTGTACAGGATTCATTTCCGAGTGCAAACTTTATATTAATTTTTCAGAGCTTTGCAAAAATATCTTTCATCTTCCCAATCCTGTCATTATGTAAACACTGCTGCTAGCAAAATCATCATTTTAGGGCATGCTGCTGTAGTTTAATTGGACAATAAATCCTGCACATGCACTGTAATCCCTATTCGTCATGTAAATTGATGATGCTGCCAACACCTTCATGCTAGGACATGCTGCTGAGAAAATTGTTAAGACAACATTTCATATTCTAATGCATTTTGTAAAGCACGAGCCGCTTAATGATATGCTCATCAGCTCATGAAACCAACTGCTCTGCAGGCCTTGAACTTTCCTTGTGACACTGCATATACACTAGTATCATTAAAACACAGCATGGAAACCTATTTTTTGCTGGCATATATGATTGACATAAACTATGTCACGCATTCAAGTGTTTTTCTTTTGGTAATAACGTTGGGCTGTCATTGACTAGGAGAGCTCTATGGTTTATCCTCAAGGCACAAAGCTACATCTATTCTGTTATAAATTAGAGTTTACACTGCATCTCCAGAAGCCTTCTTTTTTGTAACAACTATGACCTATCCCCACTGTGTTGATCAATGGTAAAGAGTGTTTTGTCAGATTTGTTGATAGTTGCTTTTAATCATGCTAAATATCATTGAAATGAGTCATCTAGAGTATTTAAATACTTTGTCACCTTTTGATATCATAGAGACTATTGTCAGCTGATATGGTGTTACGTTAGTGTAGTATAAATCGAATCATCAAGTCTAGGAGTTGGTCCCCAACTTCACATTTAACTGCAGAAAAATTGTGTGTTTTGATCATGTCCAAAATTTCGTATGGATGTTCAGTTGTCAAAATGATGCATGCTTTTGTGGATATAGAATTGACTAAGTCTCAGTATGTTTTCTACTGGTTTGCATTTCAGCACTTAGTCCAAAACACTTTTTCTTGCTGTCCTCTAAACATGTAGTTCCAGTTCCTTCACCTTCTGATTTGAGTGATGCGCATCCTAATGTTAAGGAAATGCCCATGACTGATTAAAAACATAGAAAATTACATTCTTGGCTGAGGGGAAAATCATATGCTGTGTAGGCTCATCTTTTTGTCTCCTTTTTCCACTTGATACAGATATAATCATTTTTCATGGTCTTGGAATCATGCAGAGAAGGCTGCTGTAAAACCCATGATACCTCAAATAAGTTCCCTAACAGTCGCATATGAAACTACATATTCGTAAACATAACATAGCATTGACTTATAGTGTTCCTTCTGTTAATCGCCTAGATAAGTACGTACTCATGGGTGATTTATGAATTGGTGAAGCAAGTGGTATCCAATCCTTTCATTCCAAACAATCAATTTGGTATTAAGTTTTGTGTTCTTGTGAACAGGCTAGTTGCAAGAACCAACCAACTTGAGAGTGAGAAAGCACAAAAAGAAGCCGAAGTCCAGAAGGTGGTGGAGGAGAATGTGAGGCTGCGTGCGATGATTGATAAGAAGGAAGCGCAGCTTCAGGCGATGAGTGAGCAGTGCAAGTTCATGGCGCTGAGCCGTCCCAACTAGCTGGATACTTCCTCCGTCCCAAAAAAAAAGGCAAACCCTGGGTTTTCGTGTCCAACTTTAACGGTCCGTCTTATATGAAATTTTTTTATAATTCATATTTTCATTATTGTTAGATGATAAAACATGATTAATATTTTATGCGTGACTTGTCTTTTTTATTTTTTTCATAATTTTTTCAAATAAGATGGACGGTCAAACGTTGGACACGGAAACCAGGGTTTGTTTTTTTTTGGAACGGAGGGAGTACATATGACAAGCTGTTACGCTTGTTCAATGATGCCACTTACGAATTACCGTCACTGCATTGTTGCAACAAGAAGAAGAGCTCCAGATAGATGTGGCGAAACAACGGATGGTGCCAACTGCTGGCGAGTCCGTTCCAGGCACTCTGATTGCTGCTGCTGCAAACAAATTGTTTACCTTAATGTAGGTGTGATGTGTTGGGACTGTAAACCTGACATCTTTGTATTCTTGTAACTTGGAATTTGTGTAAAAAAAAAAACCAGGGCACATTTGTCCGAATCCATAAATCCTCTGAAAAATGAGCTGCAATTCATCGAATCTGCTCTAGTTGCGCTGCATTTCCATCAGGGTGAAAGTTGTCGCGTATATTTTGCATCTTTCCAGCTACAATTTCATCTGGTTGCTGAAGTGATCTTGCAACTAATTATACGGTTGTGGACCCCACTGTCAGTGGATCAGTGGATGAAGAGATTAATCCTATAAACGCTTTACAGCTCGGATCACGAGACCATCGTAATTGAATGTGCCAAACAAACAATCCATGTACAGTAACAAACCCAGCTGCGACTCGACCCTGAAGCCTACGCGGGCACGCGGCGCAGCGCCCCACCCAAGTCGTGGACCTCGTGGTGGTGAAGGGTAGTAGGCGACGGCTTCACTACTACTACTTGTACTGCGAGCCACACGCAGCCACCGCGCAAAACCCACGCGACCCCTTCCTCCTCCGCCTCGACCCGATCCGATCTGAGCCAGAGCCAGCCATGGCGGCGACTAGGGTTTGGCTCTCCGCCCTCCTCCTCGCCTTCCTCCTCGCCGCCGCCCCCGTCGTCCAAGGTAAACACCCTCGTTGCGCACCGATTCGTCCCTCCCTTTCTCTTCTCTGCCCCGCGCCCCGCCGCGTAGATCCGGGGCCGCGTAGATGAGCGCCGATCTCGATAATTCGCGGCGGGGCAGCGGTAGATCTGCGCGCTTTGCCCCTCCGCGGGTGTGGTAATTGAGCCGATCGGGCTCTGTGGTGTTGCACCGGAGGAGGTTGATGTTTGGAGCAAGTTTAGGTGGGTATTATATGAATAGATCGGTGTGTGGGGGCGGGATTCTAGACGCGACGTCTTGGGAAGAGTTTGTTGGTGTGCAATTTTCATGATAAAAATGTTTCTGCGTTTGCATATTTGTTATCAAAGTAACGCAGCCATCTGAGGCTGGAGCTTTCTGAAATTGAGACGGGTTTTTCATGTATGGTTAACGATGGTAGATTGGTAGGATAGGTTTCTATGGTAATTTTTAACACTGTAAAATTTTGGAACCATGCCATTTAAGATTGGTTAAAATTGAGAATACCATGCTGCTCCAAGCCTCCGACAAGCTCTTTCATAATTGGAAAATTGGGATGTATTATTAGCAGAATCTCTGTTTAGAATAGCCAACCAAGTGATGACGTATATTCTAAATTTACCGATGAGGTTCTAGGGCTGAAAATGGTACTGTTTTCTCTGCTATGCTCCTTTGAACTGAATTTTCCTGCAGTTGCCAGAGCTCAGTCCATGGAAGAAGCTGCTACAGCTGAAGTTGTTGATGGGGCTGATCTAGGAATCGTCAGTGATGATACACAAGTTTCCAGCGATGGGCCTCTAAGTCCGGCTCCTGGTGTGGAGACAGTATGTGTTTTTCCCAAAAACGCTGGCAAAAGTGAGTGTCAAATCACAATCTCAGCAAAATCATTTATTTGAAATTCACTCGCTAGTACTGTAATTCATTTGCAATCATTTCCCTTAATGTTTAATATGAAATATTCTAAACTAAATTGCTAGTTCTGTTCATCTGATAGGATTCTATTCTATGCATATCTGTAGGATCTTGTCTATTCTTAATATTTGCATGCCATGTTTGGAAACATGTTTTGTTTAAAATCAGCATCATATCCTTGTTGACTTCAATAAGCAATAATGTTTCCCTTTTCTTGTTTTATTGTAGTTGTGCTAGCAGGTGAAGAAACTGAACTACTGGTTGGCCTGCAAAACGAGGGTAACTCATGCTGTTTCTTTCATGAAATATTCCCGGTTGCCACTTCAGTTACTTAGCTATGATTAGTGTTTGGCTTGGGCTATCTCTATTTATCTTAAATCGACCAGTAGATTTGCACTTCATCTAAACAGGCCATGCATATTTGTCTCAGTTATTTGCTTTCTGTGTAGTAAGTTATTGCAAGTTCATGTCCATTTGGCTTAAGTATCATATCCAGGTCATGAGATTGTTTCAATATGTACTAGGTTGGTTGAAACTGCCATGTTTTCTATATAGGATTAACTAATAACAGATCACCAAATGGGCAATATGAGTTGTAAGATGCATATGTTCACGTCCCTTAATAGCACTAGTTTTTCAGCTGCCTTTGATGCAAATGTGTCTTTCATGTATTTTCCTATATCATGTAAATTGATGCGTCAGAGCAGATGCATAGCCATATTAGTGTGTTCTTTTGTTGCCAAGAATATGTGGGTCCAATAAGGAATAACCTTATGTTAGAGATCACTAGTTTACCGTACATGACATTTTCATAAACGAGCAAATTTTTCTTGTTTTGGCAATGTAGATTCTGAGTTCAATAGTTTAATATTCTTTTTACCATGCTAGTTCAAATGTTTTGTTCTTAGTTTGCTTAGAGTCAAACACCCTTTGCATATGTTGTGTTTACAGGTGAATCAACTTTGAATGTTGTTGCTATCCATTCAACTCTCCATCTTCCTTTTGACCATAAGATGTATGGACAAAACCTTACTGTTCAGGTGAGGAAATGTGGGAGCGTTCTTGTTTTTACTACCTGAACAGCTGAACTTCTGAAATTAACCTATTGATGTGTGCACCATCAAACTTTCCTATTTATTGATAATTTATTTAATCCTGCCTGCTCTAGAGATATAATGTATTTTGTTTTAACTTTGAACACCGAGAAATAACTGTTCGGATCTTGTTCTGTTATGTTTTCATTAGATATCTGTATTTCTGCTTCTCAGTAGTATTATATGTTATTTGTCTTTAAGTGAAGTTGAATCACACAATTTATTGAGTCAAGCACACATTCTTGGAATGCTATGTTCTAATTCATAACTATGCTTATTTTGTGGTTTCTTTTTTTGCAGAACTTCTTCAATGCATCAGTTCCTGTCTCTGTACAAGCAACCTTTCCGTATACATTCGCCGTGAGCAAGTTCTTGCAGGTTTGTTAATTCACAACGCTAACCATTGAAACAATCTTAACTATAAGATCAAGTTGTGTACATTTTGCATTCATGACGTCCTAATGCCTGTCTCCTTGCAGCCTGGAGCATATGATCTAGTTGGTTACATAGTGTATGAGATTGATCAGAACCCATACCAGAATGTCTTTTACAATGGCACTGTAGAGGTTGTTGAGGCTGGAGGTTTACTCAGCGTTGAGTCTGTGTTCCTTATTACCCTTGGAGTTGCCCTTCTTGGTCTCTTCGGATTGTGGGCATATGGTCAAGTACAACAGCTCTCAAAGGTATGTTTCTAATTTGTTGCGATACAGGTTAGCTGGACATTTGAGCTGTGTACGTTTATCTCATCAATCATTTCTGCGTGCTGTAGAAAACAAAGAAGGCCCCCAAGGTGGAACTGGGAACTGGAACTACTGATGCCAACATGGATGAGTGGCTGGAGGTTTGTTTCGCTGCTCACCGAACATCATATTGATCGATTATTGTGAGCCCCATGCAGAAGATTAACTTTTGAGTTCATTGATGTGGCAGGGCACTGCATTTGCACAGGGAAGCAAATCCAAGAAGAAGAAATAGATTGGAGGCCCTTGAACTCTAGTTAATCATTTTCAGGATCTAGAATGAGACAGTTGAGGGTAGCCCTTCACAAGTAACTTTTGCAGACGATAGATGAGAAAATGGAGGTGTTTTAAACCGTAGTTTCGTGGCTGCTGCACATGTTTGTTGACACCAAATTTCGACCTTGTTGTGTACTTTTACATGAAAGTTTTTTCTTGAAAAACACAGTTTTGTTCAAGGTATATGCTATGGATGTGATCTCTGATCTTATTTGATCTGTGACATGCCGAATAACATAAGTTCGATCTGAGAGATGCTGAATCACATAAATTTTTATTAGTTGCATACTTGCAGTGTCAACTCTGGGATTTTCTCAGAAAATACTGGAATGATACATATACACGCTCTGCTGTTTTTGTTTTTGGTTTTCTGTCTGTATCGTGGTACGCTCTGCTTCTGCTTCTATGGAATGAAGAGTGTGTGTGTGTTTTCCCTCTGGTGGAGTATGTTGCAGTTATATATACCCACTGTGTAATAGGCTTGGCTTGTAGGGCTGGTTTGGTTAGGGGCCTAAAAATTTTTGTGAATGTTAAATTTTAGTAACTTTTGGCATGGCTAATTTTGGCAAAGGTAAAATTGTGTTTATATTGAAGCCAAAGCCTAAATTAACTGTTGAAATGGCCTATTTTTTTAGGCAAGCCAAAATTTGGCTCCAAACCAAATAAACAATTAACACTATTGAAATTGCTAAATATTGGTAAGACCAATTTAGACCTCAAACCAAACCAGCCCGTAATATCTCTCTTTCCTGCGTTCTTTCAATTTTCCGTTTCTAATGACGTTGAGAACTCCCTCCGTCCGTCCTATACTCACTCTCTCTCATATAGAAGTAAGTGATTTTGAAGGGATGTAACATATTCGTGTTACAAATCTGACAAATCCCCAATACTACGGAACTGCTTGTTAATCGCCGTGTAGAATGTCCATCATGTATGATGTCACTGGCCGTTAATGTCCTGACGTCACTCCACGCGGCATTAGGCCCATTAATGCGCAACTAAACGTCCGCCTTCTTGGGCCGTAAACGGGCCTGATGCTCTGATTAGCTTTTGAATGGGCCTTTAACAGGTCCTGACGTTCAGTCATTAGGCCTTATTTGCTTTTACATCTGTTCTTTATTACTCTCCCCATTTCAAAATATAAGACACAAAGAAATAATTATTATCATATTATAATTTGGATCATCCTAATAAATATAATGCATGCATTCAATAGAGTTAGAGAATGTGAGAGAAGAATTTAAAAAGGTAGTAATTTAATTTAGAATATGTCATAGTTAATGGCATACATGCATGTCATAGTTCGTGCTACAGCTGGCTACAGATCCGTAGTCCACTGCTCTTCTATTTCATCTTTTATCTCATTAAAATATGTTTATAGCTGGCTAATAGTCTGTTATAATACCTACTCTTGTATTATGAAATGGAGGGAGTAATTTTATAGATATAAAATCAGGAAGAAGAAACAGAACCATAAACCATAATCCATCATCAAGAAATCCCACACCCGGAAAACTTTAACTGAAGGAGTGCACAAAACCTGCCTCTCATGTCTGTTAGTCTGTATCAAGAATCAACTCAGATTAGAGAGCCAAAGACCAATAGACGGAACAAAAAAAAAAAGGAAAGGAAACCGGAGGTAGCAGTGAGGGATACTGCTACTGAGAAGAAGAGCATCAGAGTCATGGAAGACGAGCAACACAGCTTAGCAAAATAAAAATAAGCCAAGCTTCTGCTTCTCAAGCAGGATATACATGTCGTCATCTGCACTTCCTTCTTAGCAGCAACAGCAACTTACCCCCACAAAGCAAATAAACAACCAAATCATAGCACAAGTGGAGCATACATACTACTACTAGTATTTTAGTAGAATAGAAAAAAAAAAACGCAACTTGGCGACGAATTAACCCAAATTAAAATAACAAGAGAGAGCAACTCGGGCAGAGGGAAAAATTCGAGCTCAGAAGTCAGAACTGATGAGCAAATTAAATACTACTCGAATCAAGGAAGAAGTTAATAGTGATCGACTGTTTTCACTCGTAAGGCAAGCGGCTAAACGCCAAAACGAACATTCTAACGGGGCGACCAAGTTGCCAGTTCACCATCCGAAATGAATGTAGTACTAGTAAATCATTAAGTACAGTAAACCATAGCAGCCAGAGGTCACTTGCATCAAACTTTACAGTGAAAGAAACGGCCGGTGGTAAACGTGCGGTATCTGTATGTACATGGCAGGAGCAATTGGGTTGCCATTTATCCCAGCAATCACAAGGTAGGAGTCTAGGACCAGCAGCAATGGGGTTAACCAACAAAACATATGCCCAGCTTTGCTCTAGTGTACACAATTTACTTGTCAAACAGAAGCGCACCTATCCAAATCTTATGGATTCTACTGCCTGACTAGGCTTCTTCTTGAGCTTACAAATTTACTTGCCAGGTTGGGGAATACAGGTTGCAACTTGCGAGCAGACCGAGCAAGCCGGCAGTAACAGAGATGCTTCCTGATACACCATATGAGAAAAAACGGTCTGTGGTTATAGTTATGCAATCAGTGAAAGGAACATGGGTTAACAGTAGCAAGAAGTTCTTTCTTGATAAAATCACCTTATCAGCTACTTCTGTTGAGGGATAGAATCGCTGCAAAACTTCTTGAAAGTTTGGCACTCGTCAACCAAAAAGTCACTGCAAATTTTGGCACAAATCAGCAAATTGGACTCATGAAAACTTCTGTAGATGCAATATAGGAGAACTAGAAACTTACTAGATGCGTTCAACCATTTCTGTTGGATCCCATCTAGGGCTCCAGGGATAGTCATTTACTGGAGCTGACATGATAGGTAACCCCTGGGCATTGAAGTGCTGCGGAGGATTCACCACAAAAAAGGTTATTTCCCCACACCTTGAAAGAACAATTTAACATACAGAGTAACTTACAAGGGCAACACCTGCCCTCTCTAGCCAGTAGATGCTAAATCAACACTACAAGTCAATCAATAACAAAAGAAGGTTAACACATCATAGTCTTGCATGTTTACTTTTTTATCATTTTCAGGAAGAAAATGGTCCATCCATTAGAGAGGTGAATTGGAAGGGGTGAAATGAAATGGAATAGTATAACAGCTGTTGGTCTCATTTTTGCCTCCCCATAGGATCTCCAAAAAAGAAAAACGATGTGTCTGTGTTTCTGTGTGTTTTGTTTGGGTAGATGGGCTATAGGTATCATCCTTGTTCACTTCTACTGACTACCCAGCTCTAAATGCTGATATCAACAACAAGACCTCTATTGAGCATGTAAGTTACAACTAGCAATAAGCAGTGACAAACCAAATAAATACCTGAGAACTCTCTAATGTCAGCACAGGTTGATGCTTAGGGAATTGGAGGGGAATGACAAAGTGGACCTGCAGCAGTTACATGATATATATTGTTAGTAATATACTAACTGGTAGAAAATTAAAGTCATATTCCACTAGTACTTTTTCATTACAGTTCTAAAGCTGTATCAGATCGCTGGTCAGATTGGAAAACAGATAGCAGTCATGTAATGGAAAAACAGAGAAAGCACTAGATTCACAAATTTTATGACATACCAGAAAAGTGAAAATCCCTGAGATGGAAAGAATCGTAGCTTTTCTGCAAAAAATCTGAAGTGTGGACAGGTTGGTAGACAATTTGGCAAAGCAGACAATAACATACGAAAACAATGGCAAACAAGTACCGGATCAGCCTCTAATGGCCTTCCAAAAGTAGGAGCCAATGCTTCAATGAAACGTCTTCTAGAACCAATTGAAGCTGATGCTTCCACAACCTTCGGTATAGATTAGAAACATAAGTTTTGTATAACAGACACGAGTTGCACGATTAATGCTATGCCATGCTACCTTTAGCAATACCTCATCTAACTGATAAATGATTCAGTAGTAGCTAGTTTCCAGTAAGTCTAGTATGCTTAAAATAATGGGAAAGGATGTACATTTTATGCATAAAGGTACTTCCACTAAATAATAAGATTGAAATACAGGAAATTTTTTCTTGCTTGAATCACCTAAACAATTCAACAATAGCATCAGATCTACTGTCTATCCTTTTCTTTTATTCCTCAATCCTCACTTATTTTCCGCACACTATTTTTCAAAGGATGATTAGTCATTCCATTAACATGACAACTACACTACGATGTAAAGTAGTAATACTATCAACAATAAGAGCAGGCAGTCAAGACCAACAGTTACATGCAAAACTTAAAGCTATAGTACCTGGATTTTAAGATTTTCTTCCAAGTTAGGAAGATACTCAGCCATGCACCTTCACAATTCAGGCCAAGAAAGGAAGCACACATCAGCGACAGTTACTTTACTTCTTTGAAATGTTGTAACAGAAGAAGAAAAACACTGGCAAATATGTGTGGTTTGTGCTGACATATAATATATGCAATGAGAGACAATCTTCATGTGCAAGTCTGGCAAGCTTACATTCCATCTAACCATGGAGGGAGTTTAACATCATCAACTGAGAAAAATGACTTCAAATCTGGGGTTGAGACTAATTTGAGTCGTGGTGCAGAAGGAACAGAGGAGTAACTTCTGCTAATTGGAAAAACAGCCTGCATAGCAACCAACACATTTTCAACACAATAGAAAAGTAATAGGTTCCATAAGATTGTACAAACTATAGATACAGACATACAGTGAACAGTTGTGCCCCACAGAAGCACAGGATGTGTATTGCAACCTTTTTTTTCTTTGCTAGAAGTTTACCAAGTTTATTTTCGTTTTAAACCCTTGCCAATCATATCATATACTCCCTCGGTCCCAAAATATAAGCATTTTTAGAATAGTGTCAAGTCAAACTTTTTAAATTTTGACTATTAATAACAAAAAAAAAAGATTGATCATGTATATTTGATATTACTAGATATATCATTAAACAAACTATCATAATATACAATTCTTTTTAGTTAAAACATCTTACTTTTGTAGATATTATTGGTCAAAGTAGCATCTTAAAGACCATGTTGAAGTCCAAAAATACTTATATTTTGGGACAGAGGGAGTATTTCTAAATTAATATATGCTGGCACTGATTGGGAAGTTTCCATAAAGAATTTTCAGTTCATTTGCATATTTAGTACTTCTCTTTTTGCAGCGTGCATATTGAGTACTTGATAATCACATCATGTATTTCTACTTTAACATCCAAGTGAGATCCCATAACAACCAAGACACTCATTTCTAAAATATGTTAATACATATAAGGGATTGTTAAGCGTGAAATTTACATCCTTATTTTCAGGAAAACTTATGATCAATTTGAATTTCATGTACTGGTGTTGTGCTTTGCCCAGTATAATATGCAACGATGGGACTATTCTAGAGCAGGAGTAACCATAATAACAGAGAGACAGTCCGTCTGTGTGTACTATCTTGTTAGAGAAGATGGAAACTATCTTTGCTACATGAGATTTACCAAGTGCTGTTCCAGAATAAGATATGGACGAAAGGCCTTCCTACAATCATTACTTTAGTGCATTTCAAATTTCAACAGATCATAACCAGCTAAAAATTTGCTGAATGGATTCCTCGTCATCATCACTGCTACCATTTTAACTATGCCCATGGAAGGAATGGCATTAGAAGTTAACCTGCAAATGGATCTTTTGAGGAAGTTTCCAAGGACATCCAGGAACCAGTTTGGCAAGGTCCAGATCCAGAAGTGGGACAGCAAATTTCACCTCATCTGGCTATAAGTGAATATATTAAAAATAAGTAAGAGCAAACATCAATTTTCATGAAAGAACAGATATGGAAACTAGTAAACTTACTCTACCATTGGACGATACCGTGCAGACTTCAATCCCCTGTTCAATGTGTCCATTTTAAAAAGTTGTTACTGAACCATCGATTATCATAAAACAAGAAAGTTAAATAGGCAAAAATAAGAGGCGATAAGCTGTAGAATGGATCAACCAATTATGAGTTACGAATACATGGTTCTTCTTGGGATATTAATATTCCAGAATAACTGCTAGTCTTCTACTTAAAAAATATATACGCTCGGTGCATTAATTAGATAATCATAATGCCCATAGGAAGGAAGATGTGCTGAATGTAGTGCATTACCTCCTTAGACAGAACTGTGCTTATTTCAAATTTCAGTCTTGCGTCATCAACCTCGGCTGCCCGCTTCTTTTGGTATTCAATATAAAATTCACTGCACCAAAATCAAGTGAAGAGCAACCAGTTTAAAAGCGAGTTTAGGATCAAAACTTCCAGAACATTTTTTCCACACTGACAATCCAGGATCCCAATATATCATCCACAATAAAGGCATATGCAATCGCCGTCGCGTACAATTCCCTTGCGTTTGCAACTCTCAGCTCCAACTGACTCCAATCATCACACACGCGAAGCGCGATTACAGTAAGCAACTAAGGAGCAACATCGCTAGCATACAGAGTTATCCTTACCGGAGCTCTTTGATGAGAGAGAGGAGGGCCGAGGTGTCCCGGCAATCCCAATTTGCCAAGCAGCTCTTCTCCCCACTCCCGGTCTCATCGAAATCGACTAGCGGCTGAAACCCCTCGTCGTCCGGGCCGAACACCACATCCGGCGCCACCTTCGGCGACAGCGCATTGTACAGGAAGTCCCCTGCGATTGCAGAATCATCAGAGACATGAAACCCTAAACCATTGGAGCCAGCGAGCGGGAGGGTTTACAGTAGACGTAGTCGAGGCAGAAGGGGATGGCGAGCGTGAAGCGATCGGCGTAGCGGCCGTCGCGGCATCCGGACCAGATCTGCCCCACCTGCAAGGAAGGAGAGAGCGGGGGTGAGGCGGGAGCGGAGGAGGAGAGAAGCAGTGCGCGGGGGTACCCACCCTGATGGGGAGGTTGGCTTGGGAGAGGACGAAGTTGAGCTGGGCGGCGACGAGGGGCGCGAGCGGGGCGCCGGACGTGGAGGCGAGCGCGGCGGTGTCGGCCGGCGGAGACATCGCCGGCGGCGGCGGCGGCGGCGATGGATTCGGGAGGTTGACGCTTCCCCTCTCTCTCTCTCTCTCTCTCTCTCTTCTGTAGTTGTGTTTTTTTTTTTACAAAGGGAGAAATGAGTCAAAACACTGATTCATGTGTTTTGCTTTAGGACAGCCAACACACTGTGGCCACTGTGGCCGAGTCTAGTTCTGAACTTTTTCTTCAAACTTCCAACTTTTTCATCACATCAAAACTTTTCTACACACACAAACTTTTAAATTTTTTCGGCACATCGTTCCAATTTCAACCAAACTTCCAATTTTAGCTTGAACTAAATACACCCATCACAAAGCAGTAAATTTGGCAAATTTCTTTTGATCTTTCCAAAATATTGATGATATATGAGAGCATGTCTAGTAGGCCAACCTGGACCTACGATAGTGTTATCATGTCAGCTTCACTGTTGTGCTAGAAGATGGAATGGTAGAGAGAGAACACGAGTCGACGATAGAATTATCGCCAGCTGTAGCACGCGGTACAATGAAGAAAGAGAAATAAGCCTAATGGAGATTGGTTCATGGTTGGAACAATGGTAAAGAATGCAGTAATTAGTGGGACCCATATCAATTAAAAAATATATTAGTTGTTACTCCGTAGTTATATGAGCAACCTATACTAACGGGATATAGATGATGTGGTTGTTTTATAGCCAGCAAGTTGATGATATTATTAAACCTGCTCTGATAGGTGAGAATTCATTCTAGTTTTTGAACATGGTGAGAATTGTTATGGTGTTCCTCATGTGATTAACTAGTTAGGAAATATGGTTGACGGCCAACAATCCGTAGTAATGGGGTGGCCGAATCAAACATTCGACACACGGTAAAGGAACCCTATTAAGCATATGTGTTTTTACTCTCTAAATTTGGATGCCGGTTTATCGACGCTCTGAAGTCCTCTATTCACAAGGGACGATGGATTTGCCTAGTAGATCGCCATGAGGAAACTTATAATTGTATCTTGCTAAATCAAGAAGGAATGAATGTATGCATATTTTCAGGCAGCGGTAGAAATCACTACTTAGTAATGGGCCGTACTAGCCATGTGGCAGTGCACGAAGCAAGACAGTTATAAACGAAATTTCACCTTGCACTTTGTAACTTATTATAGTCATTTAGCCATACAGTTTGTGTAGTCTCCACGGGAACGATGTATTCCCTAGATTTGATTTGCTTTGTTGTTCTAAGTCTCGTGGCACCTTGTGTTATATTTGTACTACTTTGCTCTCCTAATCTAATAAAATTGACCGGCGACTCTCCGCCGTTCCTGATGAAAAACAAACTAATAAAATTGACTAGCGACTCTTCACCATATAAGTGAAAAAAAGTGATGGTGTGAAATATGGGAACAATTCATTACATATGGGAATGGTCGGATGGGCATTCACCACCTTTATCTTTTTACCAGTATAAATAAATCATGACTATGCCTTTTGCAAGTATAAACAAATCAGGACTACGCAAAATAACTTAGATGGAAATTAATGGCCCCATCGTTTGGCTTATTTACAAACGAAAAATAATGTGAATAAAACTTTTATATATGTGTTCTTGGCGAACTAAAAGCAAAAGTTGAAAAATAAACTTCGATGAAAAAACTCCAAAATCAACTCCAAATTTAAGGTTGAAAATTTAAATTTTGACCGATAAGTATAAGTATAAGCGAAAAGATGAGGTTGTAAATCGAATCAGTAAAATAAGCGAGATTCAAACGAATCCTGAAGATCTTATTTCACTTTCTGACGACAGCAGCCATGCTGCCCATGCACCATACTTCACTTTTCTGATTCATACTGCACAACATTCAGCGAGCAATTCTGCTCGCTCACTGTCAAACAAACAGATTAGGTAACTGGGACAATCTGGTTCCAAGAATTTCCTAACATCGTGTGGTTCCAAGAATGGTTTCACAAATTTTACAAGTCCTTATGTACAGTGAAAGAATGTCAGATAAAATCTTCTACAACAAAACTGCCAGAATGTTGGCACTGCTAAGGTTCCTGTGCAATTTGCATGATATTTTGTACATCACTCTATAAGTTTCTTCGTCAATGGAAGTAAAAGGAAATTACTTCCAAATGTACAATTAAACTGGCGCAGGAGAACTTTGCAGAGCTGCAAAGTAGTCCTCATTGACATTCTTCAGTAGATTGTCGCTCCCTAAACTGATACACCAGGATATGGACCCTCTATCCAAAGGCCATGGCAAAGCTGAAACAAAATAAGGAAAGCATACTCAGTTCAAAATTTAAACCATGTGCTACAATAATCTATTGAAAATACACACAAATCTTAGCATATGATAGTTCTGTTCTACAGCTTAGGGAGGAAAAGAAAAATCAAGGCTCCAGTGAGCTCCAAAATAGGAAAAGGTCTAAAGCGTACTACCTCCGTCGCGATTTTTGTAAGGTGTATCTTATTTAAAAGTCATTGTCTTTTTGAGAATAAACTTTGACCATTGAATACCCATACAATATGAGTACTCCCTCCGGTTTCATAATTCTTGACGTTTTAGACAATAACACGATCTTGAAATATATCTTTGACTATATTTTTATATTAATATGTACAATAAATACATATTTTTTTTATTTTCATTATAGCATTTTGTAAGGCAAACTATATATGTTGTTTTAGTACCTTAAAAATAAATATATTTAAGTTATTGTTAGTCAAAGTTATAAAAGTTTGACAAAAAACTTGTCCAAAACGTTAAGAATTATGAAACCGGAGGGAGTATATTGGTATGATTTTTAGACAATAAATTTTGGTCCAGACCTTAGGGCTGGCTGATTAGTATGAAAATCAACCGAGGGAGTATTTCTTAAGTAAGATTTCCCGAGAGAACTGATTCAACAGGGCCTTAGGGCTGGCTTTAAATAGAGCAATATTGTCATTCCGCACACAATTGTCAGCAGAAAATGATAGCTTAGGAAAATTTGGAATGACATAAGATGTTAAGTACTTGCAGGAAAGCCCTTATTTATCATTTCTTTCATGAAATAGAGGGTTTAAATGATCCAGTTGCACACAGTTTTTTTTCTTTCTGACAAGTGCCATGTAAGGTAAAACAAGGAACAGGGGATACCTGCAGAACTGCCTGTTTCTTCCTCCTTTGCTGTGTGTAACATAATTGTTCCGGTAAGAATTGTTATCAGACCACAAAATTCAGAAGCAATGCTACTGAAGCTTTGACCAGCCCAGTCCTGCATTTGATAGTAAGATGAATTAAGTCGTGAGCCCCATCCAAGGGATCAGTCTCAATTAACTAAACCTTAAATATTTGTTTCTACCTTGAACATAATTCCACTTGCCACTATTGTAAGAGTCGTAAACATTACATAATAAATTGGAGAAACAACAGCTAAATCAAAGGTATCCAGTGCCTGCAAAGTGGGAAAAAAAATCATGATTACATGAAAAGTGAGATACACTGAATGATCAGAATAGCACAGAAACATTGCACCACTCAAGGTTTTTTAGCATTTGTGGTAAAAAAAACAAATTTATTTTTCAAAGATTTTCAAAAACTGAAAAATAGATCATGAGGAAGCAATCGAGCAAAACATACTTGCACCAAGTAATTGGTAGCCAGGAAAATGTGTTACCTTATTGAGGTAATTTATCTGAGAAACCACACAGATGATTGCAATGATAACAAAAAGCCATGTGTGTGGATAAGCAACCTGGTTCATTCCATCCAGCGTAAGCTTTATAGCAACACCAATGGCTTTGATGCTAACGACCTACAGAATACCAATGGTTCGTTAACCACATATGCCTACCACTAGATTGTGCATCCAATAGCAAAACACACTTACTGTTAGTGATCCCATAGAAGAGCAGATGCCCAGATATATCATGATATTTGTCTGACCATATCGAGGTTCAAAGAAGAGAACTAGTGCTGCCACGACTACTAAGGTTGCTACCGCATATGTTAGAAATCCTGGAGGTGTTGAAACCACAATATGTTCAGAGAAAGCATGTTAGTTATATAGCTGTGACCTATACAGTGTTGCAGAAATGTGTGTCAGTGACTAACCTGGTTGAATGGCTAAGTTCCAGATTTCCTCTACAGAATTAGGCATATGTTCTTGAGGAGCATGTATAACAACAATAACTGAACCGACAATGCATGATACACAACCAAGAACACCTAGCTTCTCAAGCCGTTCCTTCAGCACGAAATGTGCTAAAAATGAACTGTCCAAATTGGAGAAAAAAAACAAAATGTATGTCAACCATATATAGGAGAATCAAAGATAGTGCTGACTACTGAACTTAAGGCTTTGGTTTGAAAAAAATCACCTTACGATTATGCTTAGTGCCCCAAGGGGAGTCACAAGTACGGCTGGTGCAAAGGTATAAGCAACGAAGTTTGCTATCTCCCCAAGCAACACTTGTGCAATCAACAGAGATGACATTCAGCTGCATTGTCAAGTTTAATTAAGCTAACTGTAAATGCTGTGTAGAGTGAGCATACTTGTCATCATTCCAGCCCACCATAGAGGTTCCAAAAGATAAGTGTATCCTCCACCACCTGTAATGTGTTAGAAAAGAAGCAGGTAAGATGAAATGGGAGGGCAATTACCCACAAAGAGTCATCAGAGTAAGTAAAAAAAAAGAAAAAGAAAAAGAATCCATGTTTAGATTGGCAACGGAGATGAAACAGTAAAAAAAAACATTTGCTTTTACATTGCCAAAATGCCAACCATGGTAATTGAACGCAGGGGGATAAATAGGGAGCACGGCATCTGAAAGTCAAGATATCTGGGTTCAAATTTTAGAGATCCGACCCAAAAGCATTTGAATTGACAAGGTCTTCCAAGACGAAACAGCAAGAGTTTCCGTTTGCATCTAGAAGACAGCGACAATGGCGACGACCGCGATGCTGATTTGCACGCACGAGCAGGCTTACGACTTGGACTAACCAACCGCAGCCTCGTCAAGATCTAGAAGCGGAGCAACAGCAGCCGCCACCCAATCGCGGCGGCGCAGGTAAGCAACGATTTGTCAAACAAAAAAACCACCCTAATCATCAGGACAGGATGGGATCCAATTGCAAAAATGCTCTGCGTAATCCATAATTCCAGGTGTTGCTGCATACGAATCAAGATCCACCAAAGTGTTCGATTATTCCCCAGAGAAGGGATTGAGATGCGGGCGTCGTCAAACTAAGCGAGATGCCGTGCGACCAATTGAGCTAGGCGGCGACCAATCCCAAGAAGCAAACAACGGTTGACCTGAGAATGAGGCAGCAAAGCAAAGAGAGAGATGACCTGCGCGGACGCCGCCCTTGCCGGCGCGGATGAGTCCGATCTTCTTGAGGATGAAGCTGGCGCCGATGAAGGCGCTGGACGCCACCGCCAGCGAAAGCCCCACCGTGTTGTCCGACACCCCCATCCCGGCTTCCTCCTCCTCCTCCTCCTCTCGCTCTCGCGCGGCGACGCAGCGAATCCCCGGCCGATTCCGTCCTCCCGCGCGTCGCCTCCAAAATTCGAAGGCGCACAGCGCGAGGCGCGCCAATTTTCTCTCTCTGTGTGTGTTAATGTGTTTGTATTAATTCGCGCGCGCGCGCGGTGGGCGTGAGTTGCCGGCGGCCACGACGAGTCGACGACGACGAAGACGAAGACGAAAGGGAAGAAGAGAAAGAGAAAGAGCAGGGGTGGGGCCAGCCAGGTAGGACGTGGGGCCAGCCTGTCAGTCATTGTCATGTGGCGCCACCCCGGCATGTACGGGGGAATTCTCATTGGAGCCTTCTTTTGGCTCGTGGACAAACTGGCAAAACAGTAGAGATATGCCACTTGGCATCTTATGTTTTCAAATTCCATCGCATCTTTATATGCTTGTCCTATTTTGTTTGAAACCAGCTAAAGAATTAGTACAGCGGTTGAGAACTAAACCGGCATATGTTTTTATCGATGTGATCCATAACTTATGCTGTCATGAACTAGAATCAGTGGCGGATCACATCGATAACTTATGGTGTCATGAACTAGAATCAGTGGCGGATCAATAAAGAAATAGCAATGAGGTCTAAACAAACTAGATAAAGTTATATATGGTAAAAAATTTTAGTGGGGTCTTTGTGGGGGCTCTCATAGTCTTTACATCAGTAGTAGTGGAGGCTCGAGACCCCGCCGCCCCACGCTGGATCCGCCCCTGACTAGAACGGTAACTCTTAGCCTCAAGGCTACTATACAGTGGCTTCCTCTCCTTTAATACAAGTATACACTGCGGGGTTAAAAAAAACTGTAACTCTATCAATCTAAGTTTTTATTAAGTTTTATATCTGATGCACGTGCTCGTATTTACGATTAATTATTTTTTAAATTTTATTGTTGCTATCTGTGGTAATAAATTTGTCAATATTGAGAAATGACAGTCTCTCCGGTATGGTTATAGGTGGTGCGCGTGTATGTGCATCAATGTATGTGAGCATCTTCCGTGTTTTGAAAAAATAACTCGGGGTCATTGTCATCAAATTCATCACATTAACATTTATTAGGTTTTCTTTTTATCCACTCTTATCCAGACAACTGATGAATGTATGAAAGGTAAGCGATATTTCAGTGATTTAAGTTTGATTGGTGGTCATATACTCCTATATTGTTTTCAAGTTGCCTTTAACTTGTACAAACATGTTTTGGCGTGAGTTAGGGTCTGGGCGGCACCCAGGCGACTGGGTTGCGGCAGCCTTCTCCTCCCATGAAAGGAGGATCTGGATGGAGGTTCTCTCCGATCTGCTCAGAAAGTCTGCGGAGGTCACGTCTGCGATCTGTAATTGGGTTGGTGATCAGGTTAATCGTGCTGGTTCTGGTTGGATCTGGCCTAATGCTTTTCGACATCGGGCAGGATGGAGGCTTATCATGGGACAATGGAATCCTAATCCGAGGAGGAGGGCGGATATGAAGTTTGGTAGAATTACGCCTGTTGTCAAATTCTGGTACGGCAAGTTCTACAGGGGTCACACCAAAGATATCATTGATGTGGATCTGTTTTGGCGATCAACCGTGAAAGAAAAGGACTCGGAGCTGCTGGGGTATAAATTCAGGTACAAGGAAGGGATAAAATCAAAAATATCTCTCGGGTCACAGATATCTAGTGCAGGTTTCAATCTAGGGTTCGGTCATCTAGCCCTTGTGCTTAAGGTCATGGCGGCTGCCGAGGGTGGGGGTGATCAAGGGACTATCAATGCGATAGTTGCCCACCCGAAGCCTTCCGGTGCGTCGTCGTTGCCCCCAGGGAGCAGGTTGGAATCTGAACTCCAAGCTGTACTAGTTCTGAATCAAAGCGTGGATGGGATACATGATCAGGCAACAGGTTCAAGAGTGCTGCCATCGTCTGGAAATCATGATGGTGGGTTGGCAAGTAATAACCTGAGCAGTCAAGGCCCTACAGTTTTCACTGAAGGAGAGGTTGTCGATGAGGAGGAGGATGCGGTTGAAATTGAAATCGAAGAGAACGAAGTTCAGAAGGCCGGTCAATGGACGATCCTAGCGAGGTTCTACTCGCTCAAGTTTCCTAATCAGTCGGCTCTGTTTGAGGATATGAGAAGAGCATGGCGTTTGCGGGCGGAGATGAGTTACAAGTCCCTAAAGGATAACCTCTTCATTGTGTCTTTTAATGCAGAAGGGGACTATAATTTCGTGCTGCAAGGAGGTCCATGGTTGCACAGAGGAGATGCTTTATTGGTGGCGGAGTTTAATGGCTTGTTAAACCCTTCCATGGTGAACTTGGATACAGTCCCTATTTGGGTCAGGATCTATGACCTTCCCCTAGTTATGATGAACAGAGCAAGAGGTGAACTCTATGGCAGTAAGATGGGCAAAGTTCGCGAAGTGGATGTCCAGGAGGATGGATGCAATAAGCATGATTTCTTCCGTATACGGGTGGATCTCCCAGTCAATCGCCCCCTAAGAAGAATGCTAGCTATTAAGATAAAGGTGCAAGGCAAAGAGGAGACTCGCAGATTTCACCTTCGATATGAAAGAGTCCCACACTTTTGTTTCTTCTGTGGGTTTATCGGACACTCAGATAAAGAATGCGAAAAGAGACTGACAAATGAGAATGAGCCTTTAGTATTTTCTGCTGAACTCCGTTGTTCGCCCTTAAAACCCTTTGAGAGAAAAGTGGGTAAAGTAAAAGCAGTTCATTCTCAAGGTGTTCAGAGAAAATTGTCTTTCAGGGGCCCAGGAAGTGTGAGTTCTTCGTCAGCGGGTATTAGACAGGATGCTAAGAGATATGAAGATCAACCCACAAGGGTGGATGCTTTTGATGGTTTTGATATTAGAGAAGGAAAAGGTGAAGACTCAATAGATAGTCAACTTGCTGACCAGACAAATATGCTGCACGTCTCGGAGGTGTCAAGCCTTGGACAGAAGAAGGGCAAGGATTTGGTTAGTAAGGAAACCAGCTCAATACCTTCAATGGAGATGATCCCAGCAATTAGAGACCTGAATGTACAGCAAGTTTCCTTTGGAGATGGCTCTACTGAAGAATTTGGAAGCCCAACAAAGAGGAAAGCTTTGCCGACAACAAAGAGCTCAGGCATTGTCCAGCAGGCTGTTTTGGAGTATGGCCAGAGAGGAGCGGAGGAAACGGCAAGCTCAACACGGGCAATGAAGAGGCTCAAGAAGGGAGTGGAGGCAAACATTGGCGTGGAAGACATGGAAGCAACCAGCCCAGGGGCTGCTGGTAAACTGGCGGGACCTATGAGAGGGTCTCGCCAGGAGAAATGAGTTGCCTAGCCTGGAACTGCCGTGGGATGGGGAACCCTGCGTCAGTTCGAGATCTGTGTGCCTTATCAAAGGAGGCGAGTTCCCGACTGGTTTTTCTATGTGAAACTAGACAAAGTGTGGAGAAGATGAGTCGCTTAAGAGGGAGACTGGGTCTTAGGGGTTTTACTGGTGTTAGCAGTGAAGGTATGAGTGGTGGTCTTGCCTTGTATTGGGATGAGTCTGTTTTAGTCGATGTCAAAGATATTAATAAAAGATATATTGATGCGTATGTGCAATTGTCCCCAGAGGAACCACAGTGGCATGTTACTTTTGTGTATGGTGAACCCCGTGTTGAGAATAGACATCGAATGTGGTCGTTGCTGAGAACAATCCACCAATCTTCGTCCTTGCCCTGGGCCGTCATTGGTGATTTTAATGAAACTATGTGGCAGTTTGAACACTTCTCAAGAACCCCACGGGGTGAACCCCAAATGCAGGATTTCCGTGATGTCCTGCAAGATTGTGAATTACATGATCTGGGATTTAAAGGTGTATCACACACTTATGATAATAAGAGGGAGGGATGGAGGAATGTTAAAGTTAGGCTTGATCGAATAGTGGCAGATGATAAATGGAGAGATATATACTCTACCGCTCAGGTTGTGCATCTTGTCTCCCCATGTTCTGATCACTGCCCAATTTTGCTGAACCTGGTAGTGAAAGATCCCCACCAACTTCGTCAGAAATGCCTCCATTATGAGATTGTGTGGGAGAGGGAACCAGAAGCTACCCAGGTAATTGAGGAAGCCTGGGTAGTTGCGGGAGAAAAGGCTGATCTCGAAGACATCAACAAAGCCCTGGCAAAGGTCATGACAGCGCTGCGATCTTGGAGCAGAGCCAAAGTGAAAAATGTAGGAAGAGAACTGGAGAAGGCTCGGAAAAAATTGGCGGAACTTATAGAATCAAACGCCGACAGAACGGTAATTCGCAATGCGACAGACCATATGAACGAGCTGTTGTACAGAGAGGAAATGCTGTGGCTGCAGCGGTCCAGAGTTAATTGGCTAAAGGATGGGGATCGAAATACGAAATTTTTTCATAGCCAGGCAGTATGGAGAGCAAAGAAGAATAAAATCTCCAAACTACGGGATGCAAATGGAACTGTTCACAGTTCGACAATGAAGTTGGAGAGCATGGCAACTGAATATTTTCAGGATGTGTACACTGCTGATCCAAATCTTAATCCTGAAACCGTTACTCGTCTTATCCAGGAAAAGGTTACGGATATCATGAATGAGAAGCTTTGTGAGGATTTTACGGAGGATGAAATTTCTCAGGCAATTTTCCAAATTGGGCCCCTGAAATCACCTGGTCCAGATGGCTTTCCAGCCAGGTTCTATCAGCGCAACTGGGGCACAATTAAAGCTGATATAATCGGTGCAGTTCGCCGTTTCTTCCAAACTGGACTGATGCCTGAAGGGGTCAATGATACGGCCATTGTTCTTATCCCTAAGAAGGAACAACCAGTAGATTTGCGAGACTTTCGGCCGATAAGCTTATGTAATGTTGTCTACAAAGTGGTATCCAAATGCCTGGTTAACAGATTGAGACCGATCCTAGATGATCTTGTTTCTGTGGAACAAAGTGCCTTTGTGCAGGGAAGAATGATAACTGACAACGCTCTCTTAGCCTTTGAATGTTTCCATGCTATGCAAAAGAACAAGAAGGCAAACCACGCAGCTTGTGCATATAAACTGGATCTATCAAAAGCCTACGACAGGGTGGATTGGCGTTTCTTGGAGATGGCAATGAATAAGTTGGGTTTTGCTCGCCGATGGGTTAACTGGATTATGAAGTGTGTTACCTCGGTGAGATACATGGTAAAATTCAATGGA